GAGTGGATTTATGTGCAAGAGGCTGTGCCTGGTGCAGGGTTCCCCTTCTGCCTGGCTCGGGCATTGGTGCATGTTTGGGTTCTCTGGGCAGCCCATGTCCTCAACAGGGCTGCTGTTTTCCCAGTCTGTAATTCGTACAGACACTGTGGTTTTCAACTACTGTTTTTTTAAAAGTCTTTATAAGCCTAAGAAATTGCTGCTTGCTGTCAGGCTGTTCTGTCTTAATGGACCATATGGTGAGGGTCTGTTGTTGCAACAGTCTGAGTTACAGATGCTTCTCTCTGGTAATACTTGAAAACAGACATTTTGTTTTATGAAGCTGTCTTGTGGTTAGCACCAATATAACTCTTTGATAGCGTGTGTATAGAAAGTTATTTTTTCCTCTGGGAAGACGTCGCATCAAAATGAACCTTACTGTACAACACAGGCTTATCCTGGAAGTTCTCACCATCAAATAGCTGGAGGAAATTTGTCATTTTGTAAAGGTCACAGTCCCAGTTCTTGTTTAAATGGATATTTCTTCCACTGTGTTGGTTTTTCTCCTGATGTTTCATTTTAGTATAAAGTTGTGTATCTGACAAATGATAAATTAGAAAATGGTAAACACAGGGCTCTGGAGGGGCTTCTGTAAAGAGAGAAGAGTCTCTGGGAAATAATTTTTGGGAAGTCTTGGGAAAATGACCCTCTTTCAAAGCTGGAGTTGAGAAATTTGTCAAGGTTTGTGAACAAATTTGTCACCAGCCCTATCTTATCTGCTGCTTAATGATTGCAACGCCACATGTTACCATAACCTGAGTTTCCTGGGCTAGATTTGAGAAAACATTGGTGATGTCTCATTAATAATCAGAACAAGATAATTGAGATGTGTGTTGTGCCTTGGCCTGGTATATAAGGCTGCAGGCTGCGGCCAGATGTCAGCGTTCAGTCATGGATGGGGTCAGGGGGCTCTGGCTCTTGGTCACCGTGCTGGCAGGTAGGTGCACAGAACTTCTTTTTGTCACAGGACTTAAAAGCAAGATCTAAACATGGCAACAACAGGAAAGCTATTGGGGTGGGAGCTCTTCTTTTCACATGGAAAAGGAGAAGACAGGCATAGGCTGAACTCCACCTGAGGTGACTCTATGGGAAGGTAACAGTGCTGGCTCATTTTATAAATACACCCCAGTCCAATGGTGCATTCAGCTCTTGGGTACCAGAGCAGATGGACTGAAGTCATTCAGCTGCTGAAAGGTAATGTTACCTTGGATAATTTGCTTCCTGGCTTTTTTTTACCTGTGTATATCGGTGGTGAATCAGTCTGGGGTCTAATAAGGAGAGAATAGAGCTGATTCTCATTGTGTTGAGAGATAAAGGTAGAGGGAAACAGCAAAAGTGAAGGTGAGCCCAAAATGCAAGAGCTTGTGCTTGTGAATTAGAAGGAATGTGGTGATTTTTAACTCCTTGCTCACGCCTCATTGCAGCGCCCTTTAACAATTTTGTAGAAGTAAAGTAAGGGTTTTTAAAAACAAACAGGAATGCTTTTTCATTTCTATCTTTCAAGCTCCCTCTCTTTAGCTTCTGTTCCCATGGAAATTATCAGGGAAAAGGAGCACGTAGCCCCAGCTATTGCTGAGTTTGGCTGCTCTTTTGCATTTCATTTCAACACATGCTTACAAACATAGGGAATAAGTGACAGGGGAAAAATGATGCAAAGGCCTTCAATTAAAAATAAGAGGAAAAAAAAAAAAAAGGGTAGAAGGAGGAATTTGCACCTTTCCTTTGCCATTATGCTGTATGGATAGCAGGAATTTAGGGAACAAGATGTGAAGGAGGCAGCCTGATTCAGCTGCTCAGACCTGAATATGCTACCAAAATTTCCAGGAGAGCTCCAGCTTCATGCAGAAGGAGGGCTTTCTAGGCTCCTACAGAAGCAATTTTTTTTTTCCATCAAACTTTCCATTCACAATGTCCTTATGAAGTGTTTTGAAGACATTTCATGATAGAAAGAAGTTGATAAGAGCCTCCTATGAGATGTTAATAACCTGCTCTGGTGCGTTCAGTCATGTTGTAAGTAATGAAAAGAGTGAAATTTGATTTCTACTGGGAAAAAATAGTGAAATGTGGTGGTTTTACTCTGTGCTCCATCTGCCCAGATGTTAACTGGCACGTGTGGGCTGATTTCACATTTTTGCTTCATATGCGCCTCTATATCACGCACCATTGTGTCAGGCTGCCCCTCCGCTGTCATCTGTCACACGGCAACAAAATGCAATGAAATGCTGAAGGGAAGGTTCAACCCTACTGCTGTGCCACCACCATCTGCCTCTGATGTTGTGGGCAAAAATGTGTCACTGAAATCCTCCATGCAGAAAAAATGGCACCCATTGACATTTACTGATGCTTGCTGATCATTTATGGAGACCACCAGTGGATGTGAGCACTGTAAGGCAGTGGGTGGTGTGTTTCAGCAGTGGCCACATGAGTCACCTATGCTGCTGTAGATTTTTATGAGTATGGCATGCAGGCTCTTGTTCATTGCTGGTGATGGCGGATGCTGATGGTGGTGACTGTTGAAAAATAGACTTTAGTAGCCGAGAATTTGCTCTATCAAACAGTGTTATTGTGCTTTTTGTAGCTGTTGTGGTCTCCGTGGAAATAGATAGGATGCATTACTTTCAGAGCAACCTACAAAAACTCTGACATTGCCAAATGATGCTATTTTCTAGTGAACCCACAGTTTTATGCTGTAATTTTTTTCAGTATATGTAAAAATTGCTTGTGCACATTTTCTTGTGAACTTCATTATGTTGGAATACTTCGGACTGTGTCAGCAAACACTTTTTAAGCTTCCAGGTACACACCAGTCCAGTTAAAAACTGTGAAAAGTGAAGATGACTGTCATGTCGTGGAAAAGAATAGTTATTTTTCAAGTAGCTTTAGTCTCGAGTTTTCATAGGATTATTAAGGTTGGAACAGACCACTGAAATCACTTAATCCAGCTGTCAACCCATCCCCACCAATTCTGCCCACTAACCATATCCCTCAGTGCCACATCTCCATGTTTCTTGAACACCTCCAGGGACGGTGACTCCACTACCATCCTGGGCAGCCTGTGCCACTGCCTCACCACCCTTTTGGAGAAGAAATGTTTCCTCATATCCAACCTGAACCTGCCCTGGTAATGATTCAGAGGGCAGAACTCAACTGTCAGCCTGCTACCCTACGCCATGTGATAGGGGTGCCCTCAGTGATCCTCCTGTGCAGGAGCCAGGCACTGGGACAGCAGTGGGTGGTCATGGGGACAGAACCTCTCGTTTTGGTCACCAGGAAGCATGCTGCTCTGATGACATCTCAGCCACGGGAGTTGTAGTGTTGGCCCTAAAGCGAGGCAAAAACACCTCATCAAAAGAAGAGTAACTGCAAAAGCTCTTACTGTTTGTTCTGTGGCTCTCTGTGTGTCATTCCACGCTCCCTGACTGCTTTTTGTCTCTTAGCCTTAGGCTGCAGCCATGGCTCCAGCACAGAGCAGTGCACGGTGCCAGCAGCAAGACGTGTAAACTGCCACCCCCAGCCCGGTGCGACCCAGCAGAGCTGCGAGGCACTCGGCTGCACCTGGTGTGCCACTGATGTCCCCAACGCTCCTTGGTGCTTCTTCTCTGAGGACAGCACCTATGGCTACTCACTGGCCAGGAGCATGGAGAAGACAGTGAAAGGCTGGAGGTAAGCTGGCAGTGAGCCGTTGTGCCCGAGTCTGGTGAGGGAGGGGGTGGCAGCTGTGTTTCTGTAAGCCATGTGCAGCTGGGGTTCTGCTCATGCCACCAGTGCATGGAAACCACACACTTCATAGAATCATAGCATCACAGAATCAGAAAGTTTGGAAAAGACCATTAAGATCATCTAATCCAACCATCAGCTCATCCCCACCATGCCCACTAAACACATCCCTCAGTGCCACATCTCCATGTTTCACAAACTCCTCCATGGACAGTGACTGCACCACCTCCCCAGGCAGCCTGTGCCACTGCCTCACCACCCTTTTGGAGAAGAAGTCATTCCCCATATCCAACCTGAACCTCTCCAGGTGAAACTTGAGGCCATTATCTCTTGCCTGTTAATGGCAAGAAGAGCCAAGCTAACAATATAAGACTTTGTCATCTGATTTTTAGCCTTAAATCTCAGTAAACTAAAAGCTACTGCATGCTGCTGAATTCATCCATAGGGACGAAAAGCCAATAATCAGAGATAGGGGAAATTGTCAGTGCCAGGGCTGGAACAGGGGGAAAGACTTCAACTAAAATAAGAAATTGTTAGGTTAGATATTAGGAGGAAATTCTTTACTCAGAGGGCAGTGAGGCCCTGGCACAGCTGCCCATAGAGCTGTGGGTGCCCCATCCCTGGAGGCGCTCGGGACTGGGTTGGATGGGGACCTGGGCAGCCTGAGCTGCTGGGGAGCAGCCAGCCCACAGCAGGGGTTGGGAATGGGTTCGCTCTGAGGTCCATTCCAGCCCAAACTGTTCAGTGATTCTTTGGTTCCGTGATCTCATGACAGCTGAGCACTGTGCTGGGAGCTCAGTCTTCTGCTGCAATCAGCAGCCCAATGCCACCAACTCAGCCATGAGGAGGTGGATCTCAGCAAATGGGAGATTCACCTCAGGTTTTTTCTCTATACCAACTAATGCTTGATGTATTATTTTTAAGAGCTGATGTAGAAATGCTGAGTTGTTTCCCTGCACCAAGAGGTAGCAGTGGGACTGAGGCTGGTTTCTGTCACAGGGTGACGTTGGACAAGCGCAGCACAGTGTCACTGTTTGGTGATGACATCTCTCCCATTGTCATGGATGTGGAGTTCCAGACAAAGGACAGGCTCAGGTTCAAGGTGAGTATTACGAGGACGATGCCGTTACAAGGCCAACCCCGCACCAGCTAACCATCGGCCTTTCCCTGCCCAGGTGTACGACCCCAGCCGGGAGCGCTTCGAAGTGCCCCTCAGCATTGATGCCCCAGGGGTGGCTGCTGAGGATGCCAACTATGATGTGGAGTTATCATCTGACTCCTCGCACTTCCGAGTGAAGAGGAAGAGCACCGGCACAGTGCTGTGAGTACAGAGTGCTGCCAGCACCGCGCTCTGGAGGCAGTAGGAGGGACGGGGCAAGTGCTGCTTCCTCAGGTTTTGCTGTGTGACACTGCCTCAAGCACAAACCAGCGTAAATCCAGTTGCTCCTTGAAAATCCTCATTATTAGTAGGGTATCTGCCTGTCTAATGAGTGATTATCCACAGGCACGCAAGAATGATGATCTGTTAAGCCAAATAAGCTTTAAGACTGCTAGCTTCTGGGCACATGGCTTGAGGCATTGCTGTTCTGAGGTTGTGGAAGTACTGAAGCACTGTTTTCCGAAATATGGGGTGCTGTAATGCACCAGAAGGTGAGCATGAGCTCGTGTGCCACTCTCCCAGCTGTATACCTGAGAAAGTCGTGTTCTTAGGGGCCCTCAGGCTCCAGCTACCACTGACTCCAATGGAAGCAGGAGGTGGTGCAGGTAGGTCTGGCCTGTCGCTCTGTGAGACATCACTTCTGCATCACTCAGATTGGCAGAGCAGAGGCACAGGGCATTGTAATTTGGGAATGTTTGCATTAGGATCTTGTGAGAGAGGATCAAATTGTGCTCTGTGGAAGGCTGTGGGTATGGTTGTATTAACACTTCAGATCAGCAGCACGTTTTGAGGTGAAGCTCCTGACTACACCCACCCCTTGTCCTTGGTACCAACTCTGCCAGTGTTGGAGCAGATGAACCCTTTGCAAAGTGCACTCCCAGAGGGTCCTTGAGATCCAAGTGGAACCCCAAATATCACAGAATCACAGAATTGTAGGGGTTGGAAGGGACCTCCAGAGATCATCGAGTCCAACCCCCTGCCAAAGCAGGTTCCCTACAGCAGGTCGCACAGGTAGGCATCCAGGCAGGTCTTGAACATCTCCAGAGAAGGAGACTCCACCACCTCCCTGGGCAGCCTGTTCCAGTGCTCCGTCACCCGCACTGTAAAGAAGTTCTTGCGTACATTTGTGCAGAACTTCCTATGCTGCAGTTTCTGGCCGTTTCCCCTTGTCCTGTCTCCACTCACCACTGAAAAGAGTCCAGCCAAATATGAACAGAGCAGGTCAGATCACTGTTGTTGTGTTGTTTTGTTTTTTTTTCCCAGAAGCTCTTTGTTAAATAGATTCAAAAGATAAGCATAATCTATGCATTAAATACAGGGATGGCTTCACATGTGTGATGTGATGCAGCCTCTGGAATGGCTGCAGATGGAACTGGGTTTTAATTAGCTGTCTGTCCTTTTAACTGCAGCCTCATGCCGTCTCTTTTTGGGCACTGCAGCCAATGCTGTAAAGTTTTCCTTTTGCAGGTTATTGTAAAGGAATGCATTATGCATTGCACGATAACAAAAATAATTTAATTCCTCGTTAGACTTAACAGCTTTGTGAAAGCAGTGGGCTTAAGCTAAAGACCCAATTTTCCTCTCTTTGTAATGAGAGATTTTGGCAGAAGCTCATTAATTAGAACAGTGAAGGCAGAGGTGCCTGCACAGCAACTAGGGCTGGCAGAGAGCTCAGTCCTTGCGGTGACCCCAGGCCACAGGGTTAGCCTCTGAGCAGCACTGCTAAGAGAAGATCCTTGTCAGCAGAGAGAGGGAGCATTTTGCTTAGAGATAGGAAATTCTGTGCTTCTGGGGGCTTCTGCTTCACTCAAACGGCATTGGTGGTAGTTATAGGCTGAAGGGTCACCCCTGGCAGGGGTGCGTACATAGAGAAGAAAAGTGAGGCTGGTGAAGGGGCTGGACCACGTGAATTACGAGCAGTGACAGAAGGGCTTGGGGTTGTTTAGTCTGGAAGAAAGGAAGATGAAGGGAGACCTCGTTGCTCCCTACAGCTGCCCAACAGGAGGTTGCAGTGAGGAGGGCATTGGTCTCTTTTCTGTGGTGACAAGCAATAGGATGCAAGGCAATGATCACAAGTTGCCCCAGAAAAGATTTAGAATTTCCTTGTGGGGAGGGGTGGTCAGCTGTTGGAATGGGCTGCCCAGGGAAATGGCAGAATTCCCATCTGTGGAGGTATTTAAGAGATGTGTAGGCATGGCACTGAGGGATGTGGTTCAGAGATGGGCCCCATTAAATCAGGCTGATGATTGGATTTTATGATTTTGAAGGTATTTTTCCATCCCTAAATGATTTTGTAATTCTAAGCTGCAGACGCAGGAGCTGTAGGATGGCAGGACAGCTGGTGGCAAGGTCCTACTCCATCTGCCTGACATAAAAGCCCATCCCAGCTCTGCCACTTGTGCTCCCACTGCCTCCTCCTTTGAGGAGCGATTTATCACTGCATCCACAGCACCGCAGAGCAGAGCAGTGGAACCTGGAGTCTGCAGAGATTCCTGGATGTGCTTTACAGGCGTTCCTCCCAGCTGCATATAAGGAGTCTCTGTGATAGCTGAGCCTCCTGAGTGCTGGCTTGAGGAGTGCAGGATATATCCAGTGCTTTGCAATCAATACAAGAGGGGAGAGGAATGAATTATATCAGGGAAGAGCCATCAGCAGCTGATTGCAAACCTCATGTGGAGTCCAGATCAGGAATAAAAAGCCAAGTACAGCCACATTTTCTGGCAATCAAGGATGGGCTCTGCTTTGCCTGCACAGGGTGAGGATCAGATGGGGTCATGCAGGGAAATGATCCAGGTGCTGCTGGTGGCTCTGGGATGAACAGCTGCTGGTGGGCAGCTCTCCTGCTGCCTTTGTTTCTCTTCCTTGGCTTTCCTCCCTCTTACCTCTCTTCTTCTCATTTACTGCTTTCATTTCTCTGCCCCACTGTTTTTACCCTCTCCTGCATTCCTGCTGTGCCATTAGTGGTGAGGGCATGTCCTCCCTGTGCCAAGAGCAATCAGAAGCTGTGGGAGGGAGAAGAGCCACCTCTGTCTGCCAGGTTGGGTGAGACCTATTCCTATGCAGGTGGCAGGTGTTCTCCATCTTGCTGGGGATGCGACCCAAAGCTGCAATAAAATGGAGGGCTACAAGTCCTAGATCTGAACCACGAGGCACAGGGACTGGGGCCAGATCTTCTGCCCTGAAGATGAAGCTCTCAAATTTGTGGGAAGGTGAAGTTCCCAAACTTGCTTCTGTTACCGGGGAAAACACCTATCTTGGTGGAGTGGCCCAAACTGGCCAAAAGTTAGCAGTCAGCTTTAGTTGAATAAGCTGTTGCTCATGCTATCCTAGCTGATCTTGCAGCTCTGCTGGGAAACTGGGCTGTCATTGGTCAGGGCCCTTTTCAAGTGAAAACAGGAGTGAAAATGCTGGGCTGTAATAAAACAGGTGAGGGAACCGACAGGAGCCTCTGCATTGTTAGCGGCACTCCTTCCCAGGCTGAACTCTCTGCTCTTTTCTGCTCCTGCCACAAACAACAGCAATTGCTGTTGGTGGTGGTATGAAGCATGAGTATGAAGGCTTAAAGAAAGCTCTGATTTCTTTAAGAACAGAGAGTAAAAGGCCAGAAACTGTTTGCTTTAAAGCAGCGAAAAATAACAAAGACATTCTAATTTTGCAGTGTGTGATTCCTCTGTGGGCCTCGTTGCCCCAGGGCTGTGCTGACACGGGAGAGTTAGCAGGATGCGCATTGATGCGTAATAGAAAAATCATCAGTACAAAAAAAATGTTTCTGTCTCTGTGTCTCACAACATAAGCTAATTCTATGAAAACAGCCAGAAACTTCCTCTGTAAGCAGATTATTGCAGGGCTGTCTCCTATGCCTCTGTGATACCCAGCACGGGCCATTGCTGAGAGCAGGCTGCTGGAGGATGGAATATTGATTTGATTCTGCACTTTAATATCTGTTCTTCAAGTGAATTTTTCTTCATGATGTCATATGAATAATGGAGGGCAGAGCATTTTTCCCAAGCCACGTGAAAGCTCCTTCTCTCTATTAAGAGTTAGGAATATTTTGTTTGCACTCGGGAAGACATGGCACAAATAACAAAAATCTAATCAAGATTTTCCTTCGTTTCCAAAAAGGCTGCTGCAGAGTTCAGCTGCTTTTTTTTATTGATTGTGGTAGTAAGCATGGATGCCACTTACCGTGAAGATGTTTTTACATAGGCAAGGCTATTAGAATGATTTATAATGTTATTGTCTTAAGCTGCAGTTTTGCTGAAAGCAACGGGAGCAAATTGTATGTGTCATGGGTAACTTGGATTTGATCCTGCTTTGCAAGAGCCATTATTTTACTCTTCTAATCATTAAGATTTATGCTATGTAGGCGAGAAATATTGCAGGCATATCACTTATTCAAGTGTTTTTTGAAACAAAAATGAAGCATTATATATCCAGCCACTTACAGAAGATGCCCTGATACCATGACGATGAATTCAGTAGAAGAAGAAGAGCAGAGCTATGTCAGTAACAGTAAATATACCCTGCAACTTGTTTTTTAAACTGTCGCATTTGTGGAAGATTTGTTGCTGGCACTGACTTTCTCCTCCTATTCATTAAATCATCTTAAAAGTAAGACAAACATAAAAAATATATATTCTTGGCATACCTTCTGCAGGCCAGTGGGTCTTCCCAGGGTGTGTAGTTAAGAAGCAGTGTAGCTGTTGTGAGACAGTGGAAGCATCTTTGGAAATCTGAGTGCAGTGGAAAACTGGGGAAGCCTGGACTCTGCACTGATGCTGCCCAGCAGTGTGAGTTGGGAGAAGCGGGCTGGGTGCATCTGGGCACCTCCTGGACGCAGGGCCTGTGATCCTCAGCCACAAAGATGCTTTCCTGGCTTTATAGCAATAGTATGCTTAAGCTCAGCTGAGAGGCTTGGACCCACTTTTCTGATAGACATCTGCATTTTCCACCTTTGTTTCCACATACGTATTTATAGCTTTTCACGTAGCTGTGACTTCCAAAGGGTCTGGAGGCCAAGGAAAGCAGATGTTAGAGAGGATGTTCTCACCGAGTGAGACCAGGAGAGGGGTGTTCACAGCTTAAAGCAGTGAGATCGTTTCCCCTTGGGTTCAAGGCAAAAAGAAGGAAAAAATCAGGCCCAGATTAAGACAATTTTGAGTATTCCTTTGTGCATTTCCTAGTGAAGTATTGTGTATTTATTCCAAGTCTTGTGGATCTGCAGGTTTTGTAGGGCGTCCCAGCTTGTACCAGCAGCTGTCCAGCTTTGAGAAATGTGACTCAGCCAAGCCCTTTAGTCAGGCAAAGAACCTCAGTATCACTGAACACCTGATGATTCCACTTCTGAAACCATTGCCTTGTGGTCATCTCCCTCCAGTGTTGTGAAAACATTGGTTTCCAGCTCCAGTACAGGCCGGGTTGGATGTTCTACCTGTGCCCTGCCCAACCTCCTCGAGCATAGTGCTGTTGTCCATCACAGCACTGCTACTGTTTGCAAGGCTGCTGGAGATTCTTGCACACACGGTGTCATTTCAAGTTCCCCCCCGTTTCCTTCTTTCTGTCTGTTTTTAAGATGCAAGGAGGGGAGGTGGGAGAAACCTAACATTTTCTTTTAGTAGCTCCAAGTGCTTGAGGAATGTCAGACATTGTTTTTTCATATAAATGATTGGTCTTTGCCAACAGAATACCAGCAAACATTACAAGAAAATAATTGAATAGCCAACCACAATGCATGTAGGGCAGAGGCTGGGGATGGGAGGCAGAAGCAGCGCCAGAGAAAAATCTGACCACACTCTCTTTTAAATGGAGAAGACATAATGGTGTCTAGAAAAAATGAGAGAGCCATAACCTGTGGGTTTTTTTTTTTTTTTTTTTTTTGTTTTTTTTTTTTTATGGTTATTAATGCTGTATTTAGTGTGTGGCACTGTGTTGGACAGAGATTGATAGGAGAATCATGTTGGTGGAGGACCATGGCTGAAATGGGGCTGCAGGATGGGACCCAGTTCTGGGATCCCATGCAGACACTGAGCTTATGGCAGTGCCATGGGGGAATGCATGACATGCATTAGGGTCTCTCCATGCCATTGCAGACTTGTTGTTCACAGGGCTGCGGTTTGCAGCACCTGGTACCTTCTTGCCCAGGAGAGGCTGGCCAAGGGGAAGGAGCACTTCTTAATGCTATGGTAGCACTGTGCTTAGCATGGGAAATGTCAGTGCCACAATGCAGGTGCCAGAGACATCCAAAGCCTCATGTCCTCTGAACAGACATCACTGAGAGTGCTCAGTGAGTCAGGACAGATATTAGAGCTCTTCCCAAAAGCATTTCTGCTCTGGTATCCTTTGCTATGTGGTGCACTCCTCCAGAGTGCAGCCACACAGTGCTGGAGCACAACAGCCTCTCACAGAAAGACCTGTTTTCCAGGAGCTGGGCCTGGTTCTCAGGAATATTTTGGGTGCATTAGCCTTGCTATGAGAAAACAGCTCTATTCAGCACTGTTCATGGATAGAGGAGGTACTGGAAGGGAGGGAGAGCTGTTGCTGTTGAGCAACTAAGACAAAAATTAAATGCAAATCGTTATTTTTCTTCCTTGTCAAAAAGGCCATATAGATGTTTTACGGAAGGCACACACCCTTCGGCACAGGTGTGTGACTTAGGGCTCACCTGGGATTGCAGCAATGAATCATGCCTACCTTCGGCAAGCAGAGGCAGAGGATCCCCAAGCTGGTTGGTGGGTTGCAGGCAGGGCAGCGTGGCCTTCACATATTGTGGTGTGTCCTCTGCTATGCCGATTTACTGATTAATTTGATCAAACATTTAATTTTGTCAAAATCATTGACAAAAGATCATTAAAAGGAGAGTTACACCACTTCTACGCTCTGTCGCTTTGGCTCATTTATTTTAATTAGCTGTAACACATTCATGGTTAAACAAGGCTCGAGAGGGTGCTATCTAAATGCAGTACTCATGGCATACACAGCACCATTAATGAAACACTTCTCCACAGCTTGACTATGCTCTCCCCCATCTAGATTTCTGCTCATTATAGCACTGGAGATAGCAAACAGAATGTAACACCTAATTAAAATGTGAGCCCGTGTCCCCAGACGAGTCAATAGAAATAAAGGCACTGGCTGGCAAGAGAAGCAAGGGAAGAGCCATCACAACATAAATATCTCACCGAGCAGAGTCTGAAGGACGCTGTCACTCTGCTGCACTCTGCACTCTGCAAAGTTGAGGTAACAAAAGCATCTGGTCCTCATCCTGCAAAGCGTTAGAAAATTAAAGCAGATAACGACCAAGTGCCTGTTGTTCTCACTACGCATTCTGAAGCCCACTGTGTAATAACAATTTTTAGCCTGCCCCATTGGTTGTCATAGAAATAGCGCAAGAAATGACTTATTTTGGTAATAGGATTATAGATAGTGTCTTCTCTTATTTCAGTTGTTCTTTTCGAAATTATACAGAAGCATTTTGTTGTACAAGTAGACAAGATGTCTGCAGTCACTGCAAGATGAATTTGATGTGTGTTAAGTACGTTAGAAGCATACATAGAGTTCAACGTTTTTCATATTATTATTCTCCAAAGTACAGAAATATTGTAAATAACTGGATGTGTGCTTAAAATGGTGCATACCAAGGATGAGCAAACTAACCACATTTCCCTCCATTTGTCCCAGGTGGGACAGTCCCCTGGTTGATCTGTTTTTCTCCAACCAGTATCTTCAGATTACCACAGCTGTGCCATCCACATCGGTGTATGGGTTTGGTGAGCAGGAGCACGTGTCCTTCAAACATAGCATGGACTTTGCTACCTACAGCATGTTCAGCAGGGACCAGGCACCCACGGTAATTCACTTTGGGCGACGCTTTGTCCTGGGCTTGTATCACAAGGCAGCGCTGAGGCAGAGCTCTGCCCAGGGAGTGCATGATAACACTGCTGATGGGAGCTGATGGCAAAGACTGAATGCCATGTGTATTGCAGATGTCATAAGTTTTAATTAAATGGCAAAATCATAAGTCGTTTTGAGGAGAATTTGATGTTTCCCATTCGAGTCTTTCTCATGCTGCAGTACTTATCAGAAAAAGAATGTTTTATGTATCAAAACCTTGGGTCAGGAAAGCATTTAATCTTGCTCCCTGATCGATCCCCGTTCACCCAAACAAGTTAGGCTGCAGCAGAATTTATTGAAAGTTTGGCAAAACTGAGGTCAATGGATGATGAATAATTTCACTAGAAGAGCGTGTTTTACCCTTGTCTTTTCAGAGGATTTAGCAGAATGCGGAAGGTTGTATTAACAGAGGCTAATAAGAAGAACTGTGTTGAGGCAGAAAAACAGCTCTTGTTCTATCAATTTGACTTCATGCCATTTTACACAAAAAAAATCTCCAACCTTTTGAAACAAATCTCTATGAATGAATTGATTTCCTTGTCTTTGAATACATACCTAGATGACCAAAACCATGAAAAAATGGCAAAAATTAACTATACCTAATGTGTTACTTTTGTTTCAGCCACTCGCCAACCTCTACGGCGTTCACCCCTTCTATATGTGTGTAGAGGATGACTCCAATGCCCACGGTGTTCTCCTTCTGAACTCCAATGCGCAAGGTAGGAAGATGTACAGATTCCTTATACTGATTGCATATAGACAGGCAGTGAATTAGTAAATGCAAAAAAAAACCCCAGCTGTTTTGGAGATTGCGTTTTTAATGTGATACAATACAACTGGCTGCTGCATAACTGAGATTCCAGTAATTGCTACAAAGTTTTCAAAGAGATTCCATCAGAATGACTGTTAAACGAGGTAAGGCATTTTCAGGGAAAATATATGATTAATTTTTAAAAAAATAGATGCATATACAGGGAAAGGAGAAGGTGGAATAAATTTCCTCTGGGACTGGAATAACTGAATCAAATCAATTTAGGTTAGTCCTATATTTTGTCTGCAGTGAGTAGTTTTGCGCGTTGCCATGGTCACCTTACTGTGTTAATCCAATAGTATAATTTCAGAAAAGGGGAATCTTCATTCAGTCTATAAAAGCAGCTTCCCCTGGCAGGCAATGACTTCCAATAGGAAGATTAAAATAGCACAGTGGAACATTAAGCACAAGCTTGTCGTTTCTTGCGATATAAATGAAACTGAAACAAATGATTCTGGGCAAACCTATCTGTGTGGGTTTCTGTGATTTATTGCTGCAAGATGCCAGTCAGAAGATGCAGACTGCAGAAAGTCTGGACAATTGCTAGCCTATGAACAGGTCCTGTGTGCCCATCAGATCATATGGCAAAGCATCAGGGAATGACCCCCATGCACCTCTACCTGGGGAACATATTAATGCTTGGAGGAGACCAGCACACATACTCACTGTGCAAAGTAAGTTAGTCCTGAGTACCTGTTTTTCCTTTTCAGAAGTCTCTCTGAGTCCGAACCCATCCTTAACTTTCCGCACTATTGGAGGGATCCTTGACTTCTATCTCTTCCTTGGTCCAACTCCAGAAAATGTCATTCAGCAATACACAGAGGTTAGTAGGAAGCGCTTAGGGCACGTGGGGCAGTGCCTTGGAACAAGCTCCATCGGTACTGGGTTAGCAGCAGGCAACTCTGCCAAAGCTTGGTCCCACCGCTCATACATAGTGGCAGCTGATGTGGTGAGGAAGGACAAACAGCAGAAACAAAAGTCCTATGAATACATTAGTATTAGAAGAAGACTAAGGAGAGCACAGACTGTTATCAAAAAGAAAATAACACAGGACACTTTGAAATGAATTTTTGCTGAAGCCCCTTCCTGCGCAGCTTTACTCAGCTACTAGGCACAAAACTTGAAGCAGGGGAATAGTAGCAGGCTTCTTGTGATGAGAATGGTGATTGCTTTCTCCTTGTTTCCAATGGGAATACAGTGCTGCCTTAGTCTGCAGAAGATGAACATTTGGAGGCAGAGAAATCATTTTTTTCTATAATAGGAACTGAACACTTGAACTGACCATCCAAGGAGGCTGAGAAGGTGCTCTGTCAGAAGTTGGTAAGAATAAGTTGGCCAAATATTAATCTAGATTTGCCTCAAAGCCAGGCAATTGATGCTGTGGTCCACTTCAGGTACTCCTCAAGCCTTCCTTTCATTGGTATAATTTTATAATTATACATACTTCTGCTCCATGATTCTAACAGATCGGTACATTGAAAAGTAATATAGAAATGCTGATAGGCAGAGCATTGCTAGGAACTGATCAAAATCCAATGGATATTGTAAACAAAAGCCTTCTTATCAGCATCTGGGCTACGCTGCATTACTACAGCAGAGGTACTTTCCTACTGCTACACTTTGGGATTTTTCCATAAGGGAAAGATAGTTATGTAAATCATTGGATTCTGATTGTGTGGCCCACTCTCACAACATACGAACACTATCTATGTGTTCTACTAACCGTCCAAACTTGTGGCTGATAGTATTGTTTTCTCCTTGTTTTTCACTTGGTATTCAGCTGAGGGAGGTGGACAGATTTTCCAACCCTTTCCCCTTCGTTGTCTTCTTGATTTGCATGAATCAGAGAGCTTATGAGAGGAGGAAACAACAATGAAGAGCTTAGTCTGCTCTATTAATGTGATTAAAGCAGCTGTTTTTTCCTCTTAGTCTAAATCATTCATCTTTTTTTTTTTTTTTCCTTTTTTTTTCTCCTTCATTTGCATGCATAGAAAAGGCCCTCATGGTTGTTTCGATCTGGTTCAACTTCTTCACTCTGGGTATTCTGGAGCTTCCAAAGGCTTCTTGGTGACAGTGACAGTGACAGGGAGCTGTCTAGCAGCAGTCTGACTGCTAGAGGGCAGGATGAGGGATACTGGGGATGATTTGAGTCACTCTCCCCTGATCTGACACTGATTTTTACAAAACGTGTGGGCACCTCATATTTTAGAGCTCTTGGGTGAAAGTGGCCGAAGTTTCAAACCCTGCTTGAAGAGGCTTCAGTGCAAAAGGGTGGCTTGTATCTCTCCTGCTCTGCCACAGAACTGGGAGAAGGAAGAATTAAAAGGATGCTGAGCACAGATGGGAATGTTTGGGAGCTTTATCTCTGCTTGCCTACCGAGGTGTAGAATGAACTTCAAAGGCATCAAACCTGTGCTTGCCAGGAGAACTGCCCATTGATTCTGGACAAATTAGTCTGTGTTTCACTAATGAAAACTCATGTATTGGTATTTGAGAGCAGGGATGTGGAAAAACCTTATTTACTCCTGTCTCACAGAGTACAGCATAACTATTTGTTTTTCAGTTGCTCAGTATTTTCCAAAGAACTGAGAATATATGGGGAAATTGCTGGTTCAGGAGTGTGTAAGCAGTGGGAGCTACCTTGCTAAACATGGCGGGTGACATGCTCCTCCTGGTCACCAAATACAAGTGGTGCATTAACTGGGCCCTTCACAGAAACACTGTCTTGGAACCAAGCTCTTTACGTAAAGAAAGCAGCATTTTGCCCTTGCTGGCTGTTTAAAGCCTCTGTACCCTATGCCTACCCTAACCTGGCTCCTTTTCTCAGAAGTCTGCAGCTCCCAACCGCTCTGCACATCTTTCCACCCTGCAGTTCCAATGCCATAGATCAACCAGAAAGCTGGTTTTTGTACTTCCACATTGGTGATCGAGCATTAAAAGCCAAGAGACCCATCCACACGGACAGAGTTGTAATCTCTGTGCTGAAAGTCCCTATTTCAGGGGCATCACTGCATAGAGGTGAGAACCATCCCCGTTTCTTTTCTTTTGCTGGTGTTTGAAGGCAGTGTTTCTGTGGCTTAGCAGATGGCCAACAACTGAAAATAAAATGAGAGACTACTCCCTCCCCAGCTGGGGAGTGCTGGCAGCTCACTTTCCACCCCTGCCTCTCTGGAAATGCAGCTGGAGCAGAGAAAATAAGGAGAAGGGAGCTGGAGGGTATTTCCTAACTAGACATGTCACGCACCAGTACAAAAAATCCCCTGCTCTGTATTCTCTGAGCTTGTGTTCGCCTGTCTGGGGAATCCTGAAGAATGCATGGTAGCAATTTCACAGTGAAATAATAACTTCTTCAGTAAACATTCTGAAATTCCCAGATCACAAATGTTGCAATTAGCATATTAGTCTCTAGGGTAATGATTTGGCTTTTATGTACAAGATATGTGGGAAGGTGGAAGAGACAGAAAAGACTGTTTTTCAATTATGTTTTCTCTCACAATAAGAGGACTTGACCAGGGAAGGAGAGGGTTGGAAGGGAGGAGTGTGGCTGATGACTGTAAGGCAGCTCTCAGCAGCCCCCCCATCTGTCCCTGGGGCAAAGAAGGATGGCAGTGAAGGCCATGCTAATCTGCTTTAAGCTGGCTTCAAGGGTGATGGAGGCAGTGGGAAATCAGCGAGTGGAAAGCAGGAGCCCTGCTGTGTCTTGTGAGGAACAGATCAAGAGAGTTCATGAACTGGGCTCCAGAACATAGCCTGCCAGCATCACTGAGCTCTGCAGCAGTGATGGTGACTATCAGGTGTGTGTTGAGCATGGTGTAATGGGAAGAAGAAACCTCCATACCAGTGCTTCTGGTCCCTCCCATCCTTGAGCCTGGCCATGAGGGGCACTGCTCCCAGCAAATCAGAGCTGGTCCTGCCACAGTTAAATATATCTATTTGATGGTAATCACACTTTTCTCCTAGTGCAGAAGAGGTTCGGTGTGCAGAACAGTTGTAATAATGTCACTTATTATGGCAAATGCCCCAAATCTGTGGGAGGATGGGAAGAAGCAGTGATGAGCTGAAGAGATAAGCCCAGCTGGGACTTTGCAACCAAAGGCCATATTGGATCATGGGTGTCAAATGCACCAGTGTCAGCTCAGGATGGAGTAAAAGTGCACAGCAGTAAAACATGAGTTCCTAACAGAGTATAGTGCATGACTCCCAACTCTGTTTTAAGAGCAAAGTGCTGCTTTACTTCCTCCTCTCAGACCTGTGGGACAGTTCCGGGGGAAAGAACCTCAGGAGCAATCCAGCCCAGCCTCCTACTTGAGCAGTAGCACAGGGACCTGCCTTTTATTGTTTGACATTTATAATTTAGTTCACATCATCATCCACTTGAGATGCCCATGGTGATAATGTCATCTGTCCAACAGCCCAACACAGGGAGAGGGAATGCTGTTCACCTGCTTCCTGGGCACAGCTTTCAGCTGCTCGCTGAGCTTTGTTCTCACTGAGAAGTACATTCAGGAGACCTCCCAGATGTATCTGCTCTCAGGTGCATCTGAGAAAAGTTCAGAAATTACATAAGGCTAAGTTATGCAAACCTGGGTAAACTGACAGTGAACCTATTAAACAACGCTTAGTTATTTATGAACCAAGTGCAGGAGGAATGGTGGTATTGAAAATAAGATCTATTTTTCTACTTCTGCACTACTGTATCTTTCTTTTTTTTTTTTCTCTTTTCTCAGTCTGGATCCTCCATATGTTTGCTGTTTCTGCATTTCTCATGTTTTCCTCCTTCAGTTCCCCTGCTATATACCTCATTTACCTTTTCTGATTCTTCGCAAGTCAGTTTTGCCTATCAGATTTTCTGTGCACTGCATTTTATGTTCATTTGTATGCAGAATGCAATCTATATGAATTAACTAGATCCTAAATATGTATCAAATCCAACACAACTTTCAGGTTTGCAGAATCGCATCTCTGCCCCTGCCAATCCATCTGCACGTAGGTACCATATGCCACTTACTTTATCAGGAAGCTTCAGGGGGATCCATTAGAGAGAGTCCGCAGCATAATTAGAAGAAAGAACATTTGTTTTCCCAGCTGCCCTGTTTTCATCCTTCCTCTTCAAATGTTCTGTTCATTTCAATTACGCTTACCATAGCTGCTCCAGCCTGGCCAACCTGGGGAACTAATTGCTTTAAAAGTTAATATCTTGCTTGCAAGGTGGATTTTCTTCCATTTGTTCAACTGTAATCCTGAGTTCCTCAAGGGATGCTGTCACAAAATATTGCCTTGCCTCAGGGCAGCTCTGAGGTCTGCAGAGCCATGGCACAGAGCGCAGCCAACCCACAGCATTCCCCAGTGCTGGGGACAAGGCAGTGTCCCAGGGGAAGGCCCTGCCTGGTGCCTTGATGGCCCCAGCCTCACCTTGGCCTCGCTGCCATCCACCAGGCACTCAGTGCAGCACACAGGGTGGAAATTAATCCCCGTTCATCTATGGAATTTGGCATGGGTGATGTCTCAAGTTCATCAGCATGCATACCAGCAGTGTCCCGTGTCCAGAAAAGACCTGGGGCATTGTAGGCTTTCTCCCTAGCAGCCAGCTCAGAGGATGACCTTGGTGCTGGTCTCTGTGCCATGCAGGCATCTTGCCAGGGCACCGGGCTCTGCATCCAGCAGCAGGATTAATATTTATCAGCTGTTTCTCCATCTTCTTTTTATCCAAGGGAAGAAGCCTGTACACAAATGGTTTTGTTTCATCAGGGAGTTCTTTTGTTTTGTTCTGTTTTTTTAACCTTTATTGGAGAGGTCATCCTCTGTTTACTGCAGAGAAAACACAGGCAGACTGTGCAGCTGCTTTTGGAGCACAAATGGTGGGGTTCACAGAGACCATCTTGCAGCGTATCTGGGCTAAAACAAGCTCTGCTGCCTCCTTGGATGAATTTGTTGGTGATATGGTGAGTGCAGTTGTGATAGAGGAGCAAACTTGCCCTGAAGGTGCTGTGCTGGACACCACAGCACTATGCTGCAGGTGCCCAGGGGATAATCCCGAGCCATTGCTCCTGCCCAGCTCTCCACAGGAAACCCTAGCAGAGCTGGAGGGATGGCCTGCAGGATCAGGTGCAACTGGAGAGATTGCACTGTGGTGGAGGTCTCTGCCCTCGGGTGTCCCCTATATGTGATTTGAGGCCATATTCCTCTGTCCAGGGCCTCTCATGGCAATGGTGCAGTACCAAGCTGCTGGTAGTCGTGCTTACTTCTTCTCTTGGCTTCATCTCCACCTTCACATAGGAGGTAAGGAGGCTGAAAAGGGTTAAATCTGGTGGAATGGGATGAGGAACAAGTACATGAGGGGTGCAGTGCTCAGCCAGCCCATCCTTGCTGGAAGGATTCAAACCATTAACCCCCAGATGTTCTGGCCTCCTACAGCTTGCCATAGGTGAGAAATCCCAATCAGTGAAAATGTACTGTGCAGACAAATCTGTCATGCTGTCATCATGAATGTGTGAAGTTGACCTGCCTGTACACGAACCATCATCTGTTTGTGGACAAGCAAGTGACCCTGCAAGTTCCTCTGTGAAGTGCTCAGAGGCATTAAAACATCCTCTGCTTTTCCTCCATCTGTTTTTCTGTCCGCTGCAGTTTGCAATTCCCATCACCTCTACAGTCTGTGACATCTTCTGGAGCAATTTTAAGTCCAGCATTACTGTCCCTGGTCAGATTCTGTTCAAATTCATGAAGGAAGAAATACCTCTATGCACTGAAATATCTGGAGGGCTTAGCCATGCAACTGATAGGAAGTGCCAGGAGTGTATTCTTTTATCTAATTAAAGTTGATGAATTTTAGCTGTCAATATTCAAGTTTAATTGTTTCCACTTCCTAGCATAATTAGGTATGGAGATTTATAAGGAAACAAGGGAGGAATGGTTACGTAGCCAAACGGAGTCAATAGCTGTGACTGATTAACAATCATGGGTTCTTACTAGCTAGTAGACTTTCATGTGTTGCCTGCAAGGGTCTTAGAATTACTGAACAAAACCTAATTTCATGGGATCTAACTGTTTAAAATGGGAATGTGGATTTTGAAATATCTACCCCAGAAAACAGCAATGTACAGCAATGAGACAAGGGAGGGTTTCACCATCTTTCTCAAAGCGACCTACAGTTGTTTTTTGCTGCCCCAGCAGCTTCCCTGGCAAGCAGACCAGGACATCTCACACTCCCCTGCTTGCAAACAAGTTTCCTCATGCAATTTGCAGCTGAATTACAGGGAGCAGGTTGAAATCAAATATTTATAAAGTAATGCTTAACTCGCAACTGTGTTTCAGTTGAGAATTTTGATAGAGCAAATTGTAACTCTGACCTTGAGGGGGTTTGGTGACACCTGGCAACACATTGCTGTGGGCCAGCAATATCAACAGTCAGTCATGAGCAACTGGATTTCATCTGGGAGGTGTGCAAATATGATTAAAACTTCAGACAGCTCAAATAAACATCAGATGAATTAGTTCAGCTGGATGTGGCAAGAGAAATCAGCAAAGCTGACATGCGTGCAATGCTGGAGATTTGCCTTTTGTTGACCAAAGGGTTAGGTCCACCAGGAGAAACTGTTTTAAAGCCCGTGTTAAAGCAAAGCATATTGTACGTTTTACAATGAAGTATGTGGTGCAGTGAGTTGTCTGAGAAAGTAAGGGGTATTTCAAGTGCGCGTGATACTTGTATTCTGACCCTTGTGGCTTAAATGAGCTGAGAGCCTCTCCTGGCCTTTCGGGATGATTTGTCTCCCTAAGATCTTCACCTCACCATTTGAACTTCTGTATTCCTCATTCCTGCTCTAGGCCATTGGACGCCCACACATGCCTGCCTACTGGTCTCTGGGATTTCATCTGTCCCGGTGGGGTTATGCCAGCCTCGATGTCGTAAAGGAAACTGCCAAACGCATGCATCACTACGACATCCCCTTTGTAAGCATGAATTTTTCTCCGTATGTGCTCATTTTGAAATCTGAAATGAGATGAATAAAATTATATTAGAGGAAATGTGATTATCCCATGAAGAGAACTGTAGAACAAAAGGATGCTCATAATCTTATGCAGTGGTTTCACAAGTCAATTCTGTGCAATATCTTTACATAGCTTTATAAAGCTCAAAAGAATGTTTAGAAGTGGCTTTAAACATGAGATTTAAGTGCTGCATTGCAGGCAGGTTGGACTTGGGTGTGCTTTAACGCTGTGACAGCAATTTATTGGTGTGTGGCAGTACAAGGTGCTGGCATTTTAAGCACAAACTGTGGCAGAGCTGATGCATATCACTGCCAAGTAGTTGCTAAGCTAGGACTTCCATGCATCCATTCTGCCCACTGATGCCACATAAACTTACAGGGACTGAATTTTACGGTTATTATGATCAATCTCTTAGGTCTCATTTCATAGGTTAATTCCTCCCTAGGAACACGGTTGCACCCATTCTGATTTTCTGTTTAAAATACATCAATGTTTGCTTTTAAAATGCTTAGGATGTCCAGCATTTCGATATCGACTACATGGATCGTCGCCTGGACTTCACATATGACAAAACGAATTATGCGGGTCTGCCAGAGTACATCAAAGAGCTGAAGACAGCAGGAATGCACAGTGTCATTATTCTGGTAAATTGAAAATGTCGCTAATTATTTTTCCATTTATAAGAACTATTTGCATCATAGTGCTCATAGCAGTATCCAGGTGCTAACGCATGCATGCTGTTGTGGAACATCTTCTATTTTTGTCATTTATTGAGAAGAGCTGAACAACACTTTCAGCAGACGTCACATTTAAATGTGCTGCATTTATCAGATACCTGCGTGTGCCAGTATTATCTCTTTACCATAACATCAATTTTCTTTCATTTTTTCCACTCATCTAAGAAAAAAAATTGCTTCTTTTCAGGTCTGAGTTGAGATAGCATTGCTGTAATGCAGTTCTTTTTCTGATAATGAGCAAATGAGTTTAACATGCAGACAGAAATAGCTGAATAGTGGAAAAGATCTACTCACAATCAATCTGGGGAGCTAGTAACTATAAATCATGTTGTCTTATGGTTTTTTTTTTTCATCTGAATTAATGTAAGAGAAATTTGTTTGCACAAAAAATTGTGGGAAACGTATGCTAAACCTTTAACCAATATTGATGTACAGAATCACAAAGTGGTTGAGGGTGGAAGGAACCTATGGAGGTCATCCAGTGCAAGGCCCAGCTCAAACAAGGACACCTAGAGCTGGTTGCCCAGGATTATGTCCAGATGGCCTTTGGTCGTCCCCAGGGAGGAAAACACAAAAGAATTCATTTGAGCAGAAGCAAAAATCAGATATTTCCATTTTCTCTTGTCAAATTTTCCTGCAAGATTGCCATCTCCCCCCAGCAGTCCCCATACATGTCCTTGCACTGACATTACTTTTCTCCACAGAGAAGTCAGTGGTGGTACAGAAGCTAGTGGCAAGTAAATTAAATAACAGTCTTTGATGAGTCCATAAGACATTGCTCTGCAGGGCCCTACTGCAGCACAGTACTGTACAGCCTGGCTAAGGCAGGGGTGGTGGCATGACCTCCCATTTCTGTGATGGGAAAGTGCAGGGATGCTAAGACCCAGAGAAAGGAGCAAGTGGGCACAAAGTGCTGCTGAAGAGAACAGTCATAATCTATTCACTGTGATCACAAGGGGCAGGATTAGGGGGAAAAAAAGTGCCTTAAATTGCAGCTATAAATAAATAAACACACATATAATATATAATCAGGTTGAGGTGACCCACAGGAGACAATGACCTTGCAGGGACATCTCCTAAATGATCAGCTTATACCTTTCATTAAGTTCTTACATAGCTCAAATTGCCAGTCTCACATCCTGCTGTTTGTATTCTTGATATACTTATTTGCAGAAGCTTATTCTCCCTCAGCCCTTTTTCACTAGTTTAAATTAACAAAGGTATTTTACTCCCTTTTAATGGGGGTGTGAGCTTCAGATCTCTTTGTAGTGGCTCTCCCTCACAGATGCCCCAGTTTGTATGCAGTCTGTCTAGTAAATACCTGGATTTCACAGTCCCCAGACAATGTTTCCCCAGTGTTTGGAGAATGGCAGTAATATTCCCTTAATTCTATTAAAAAAATGCCTCATATGACACAGATCTGCATCACTTTTGCCTCCATTATATTGGTGACTCATCCCTGTAAAGTTACCAGTTAATCCAGATGAATTGAGAAGGGGCAGACCACAGATGTTTGAGCTCTAAGCTGATCCAGCCTTTTTAAAATAAGTCATATTTCTTCCTTGATCAATGGCGGTGTCTTCAAAGGCTTGAGGAATAATATACTGAACAGCAGAGTCCAAATCTGTGGGATAATGCCTTTTTCATGGTTGATGGTATGTTAAATCTTTCCTGAAGCTAAGGTAACTGGGAGCTTCCGCAGTTTCTCAATTTAAAAATGACATTCTTCTTCAAATAGCAAGTCAGAAGTGTCTCCCTGGTCTTATTTTTCCTCCAAAATCTGTTGGGAAATTTAGCATACTGCTGGGGATGGGCCTAACAGTACCTCAAAGATCCATGGCAGTGTTTTCTCCTTTTAAAACAGTTACCAGATTCCTTGGCAATGTAACAGGCCTGCTCTGTACTTACGATTGACTTAATTTTTAACTTTTTGCACTGTAATTGCACTCACAGACAGGAATTTTAAACAAAACCACACTGAGAGCTCACCTACATTTTGGTAATGGAAATAGCAGCCTTTATGGTGGGACTGTTTGCCAGCAATTCAAATGTACATATCCTTACCTGTCCCAGGGCTACTGCATCTGTAAATTGTGAGAAATACCAGTGTGCAGCAGTAAAACTTCCATTCTTGGAGGAAGCTTCTGTCATTGGAGGTCCAAGACACAGTTCTTAAACAGTAACAATATTAAGTCACTCTGATGGAGAGCAATTTCAAGAAAAAATTAGCCCCAAATTAACTTGATACATCGTTATAAATAGCTAACCCATCTGAACTTGAGCACATACACAGACAGGAATGAGTGCTCTTTCCAATTGCTTTGCAGTTTGCACTCCATCTTTCAACACCTCTCTAAAGATCACTTAGCCTCTTACAGGTCTAACATTTAAACACTACCTGCTTATTTATTGAGTTATCTTTAATTTATGAGACATGAATATAGAGTAAAGCACTGAGTTTGGGGTAGCTCTTCCTGTACGCACTCTTACCCTTTGGTAAATACATGGTAATCACACCTTTCTCATCAAAGTTAGGATGTCTCCAATTGTTTTGCACTTTCTGCTGTGTAGGAAGCTACAAGGGTGAAGTCACATTTTAATGGGTGAGGTACATTTTCTTCTTACTTGCGAGCTTCAACAACGCTTTCAAAGCACTTCCTGAACTTGCTGGAGCAGGGCAAGTAGCTGTTGCTGTATAAATCTATCTCAGTAGTTAGGCAGATGCAAGGAATATAGCAACCATTCTTCAGTTATGCAATAAGCCCATGTGAATACTAAGAGGTCCCCCTTCCCCCTCTCCACTAACCTGTAAACAAGGACTGTGTTGTGCTCCATCTCTTTAGATACGCTTGTGAGAAAAACCATAGGCAAGATCCAGTTTGCTGTCCATTTCTGAAAATATCCTGGGAAGTACAGGCTACACTGCTAGTGACATTTTCTACCTCTCCTTTATTATATACAACTGCTACTATTTCTGCAAAATTTTGGCTGTTATTTTTGTTAGTGATTTCCGTCATTCCCATAAGTTGAGTCAGGAGCTGGAACAATATGAAAAGTTTTGTTCCCAAATGAGAGCCCTTCTAACCTCAATCAAGATGAGTATAATCCAGTCTGATACAGAAAGAATTATCTTCTGTTTAGATCTCCTTGAGTAGTGACAGTAATGGGTAAGTTGCCCAAGTGCAGCAGGCTGTTGGCTACCTCACGTTGATTTCAGGAGATGTGCTCTGATTGTTGTCACTTCATGTCATGTAAAATCTCCAGTGAAAGGGCTGTGAATGGATTCTGCACATCTCTGTTTGGTGTGCAGCTGGTGCCTCACCATCCAGAAGCCCAGTCCCATTTCATTCAATGCTGAGAGCTCTCTATGTCTATGGTCACTCTGGTAGCAGTGCGGCCCCTCAGCAATTCTCTCTGCTGCTGTCTTTGAGAAGCAACCTCCACGTAAGGGAGATTTTGCAGGAGTGTCAGTATTTTGTCATCATTACTGTGCTGAATAAGGTGCATACTTCAGCTGTGACTTACTCTGAGTCAGAACAAATGTACTGTTTAGAAACAAAGAAGAGTTCTGAAAGTAAAAAAAAAAATATTAGAATGGAAAATTATAAACATTATTACTGAAGAGGAGCTCTAATTAAATACCTTGCATACCTTCCATTAAAACACTAAAAAACGAAAACAGCTAGAGATGACATGAGTGAGAATTTCTTCTTTTTTTAGAAAAGAAGTCAGTGCAAACATGATTATGATTCAAAACAAGACTTAATAGCTTTAACATTTAAAAATCTAGTTCCATGAGCTGTAGAGGCTAAAATTTCCAGAAATGAGTTTTTATGGATGTGAGTTAAAATCTATATTTGAGGTCACAGGTGAAATTGTGCTGGTCTCAGTAAGTGCTAGGGGACCCACAGGTTTCAGAGCAGCCAGTCAGAGGTTGCTCACGGTTGTTCAGCATCTCCTCTTTAAGAGCTGATAAAAGATGAGTTAGGGAAGATTTAACAGATATGAACTTCCTTCTCCCATAAACAACCAATGGAATGCAAAACTAGGACTGGGAGAGTTTATTTCTCTTTAGGACATAGATAAACCTGCATAATATATTAGATTTATGCACCGGAATAACCTTTCAGCTGAAGGATACCAGAAGTTTGGATTAGGAGTAGCTAATTAAGCTGATTTCTTCCAGCCTTCAAGTCTCTTGAGAGCCATATTTTCCACAATAATAAGATAATTACTGCAGATGGACAGTTTTCTCTTTTCCAAAACTGAACTATTCAGTAAGTTAAGAACACTATAGGCATTTACACTCTTTAATTATGGAAGTGATGTTGGAGCTACGTAGTTAAAGCTGAACTTTATTTTGCAGTTAAGGTGAGGGCTTAGCAGGGGCTTTTGTTTTTGACACATGGAAGAGTACAATTTCCTCACCAGGCTACAGCTGTTGTAGGGCATACAAGTAAATCAGGCAATTAATTTAGGCACTAAAATGAATTTTAAAGCATGCCCTTAAAGGATATTACCATTTGAGATCATATATTCTTTGTCCTTCAGTTTTGTATTTAAACTCCAATAACTTTTTAATTAAAATTCCTTTGTATTATTGCTCAAGGAAGGATTGTTTCAGTTGCATTTCTACCTCTTGTGTGTAGTAACTGAAAGTTTTTTTTTGCCTTAAGCAGAGCTTGAGGGGATAACATTTTCTAAGAGAAAAGGGAAGAATTCCCTTCTAAAATGGCTGCAAACTTCCTTCATTCTAAATAATACAAAGCAGATAGCTGTTCCCAATTAGGGGCATTCTGCTAAGCACACTAACCTCCTTTTATTCCCACTTGGCTGCTGAGCAGAGTTCTTCACAGGCATCTCAGAGTATTCCTACTATTATTACTTACTGGTATGGAGGGCCACCATCCTACCCAGGCACAATTCAGGCCTCCTTTCAATGAGCTAGCTGGCCACAGATGGCCATCCTGGGGCGGAGAAACTGGCTGTGTCTCTGTAAGGGGCAGCGGTGGGAGTTGGTGGTTACTCTTGGGCCATGATGGGGGCAGAAGGCACGATCTGCAGGATGTAAGCTGCTGGTGATTTCACACCTGTTGGGAACAGAGAAGTTTGGCCACTTGATGTAGAGGACTTGGGCTATTTTGCACTGGGTTGACATAAAACAGCCACAGTTGACACTGGGTCTGAAGAAAGGACTAACAAGGTTGGATGTGTCCCAACTTCAAGTTCTTTGAGATACTCTAGGTGTTCCAAAGTTAAGATGCTGAAGTTGGATAAGCTGATATGGGAGTTTTCTTGGAGGGAATCCAGAGATGCCAAGTTTTGTGACCTCAGAAGGGAGGAAAATAAAATTTGGTGCCTCTTCAAAATTTGTTGAATATAGTCTCGTAAAAATAAACGTGAAGGTGCTTATTAATTTCACTTAAATTTGGTCTTACACAAGAAATACCAGCAACTTTTTAATGATTTTTTCTAAAGTATTACGTGCTCTCTACTCTTACTAAATTTTAACGCTGTCTTCTTCCAACATTTTTGCAGTGTGTATTAATAACATCAAATTATTCTGAAATGTAGAAGTAGAGAAAGTAACCATTGTCTCTGAGATAAATCAAGTGTAACCACTGTTTTCAGGATCCATTTATAAGCAAGGATGAAGAACCAGGTACTTACAGGCCATATGACCTCGGACAGGAAATGGGAGTCTGGATAAACAACTCCGATGGCATAACTCCTGCTATTGGAAAGGTCAGTCTACTAAATTCTCTTATGTGCTGAATCTACTATTGCTTCAAAGTGTTAAAGAAGATGTATAGCAGAAATGAAAAAGTATCTGCACATTTGTACCTATGTACTCTAGTCCTTGCCTCCTGGATACTCAGTGTTTCCTGACTACACCAACCCCAGAACAGTGGAATGGTGGACCCAGTTGTGTCTGGAGTTTAAGGATGTCCTTGACTACGATGGGATCTGGATTGTAAGTCTGATTATATTTGCCTTCCCTTCTTTTCAAAACAGAAAACATGGCTTTTGACATGTCTTACTCTTCTTATTAAAGGATATGAATGAACCATCCAATGATTTAACAGGCCAACTTCCTGGATGTGCTGCTAATGATATCAATAATCCTCCTTACATTCCTAGTGAGTAAAGCTTTTTTGCAAATCTCTTTCATAATCTCTTAGGAAAATTTTCTTTCTTCTCTTTTGCCAAGGGCAGTACTACAGATTCCTTCAGGACACAATTGGCTCAGCTTCAGCAGAGTATCAAAAATATCTTCTTTGGTCACCAGAGCAGCTTCGCAACAGAGTCTGGCCTTCCCTGACATTCTCTGAACAACAGTTCTTCTCCATAGAAAGGGCAAAATAACTGTAGACTCAGATGGAGATTTATGGAAGGAGTAACCACCCTGTCTTGCCGCAAATGCTGTGGGACCCAGGGCTGGGCAGTCCCTGGCTTTTCTACAACTCATGACAGAAAAGGTTGCATATTCCTGATAGCTTAATTATTTTTTCTTCCAGGAAAAAAAAAAAAAAAATTAGTCCTTTATTAGATATGATCTATAGGCTAAAATTAAATTTTAAAATGCCCAGGCCTATGGGACTCTGTTAAGAGGGGAACACCTCTTCCATAGCTGAAACAATGGCATGTTCATTCTCCCCCTGGAAGCCCTGAGTGTTTATAATTAGTGACAGTGCTCCTCACTTGAATCCAGCCAATGTTTCCCTAAGAAAGATCTGCTGCCTGATCAAGGCTGAAGTACAACAGGAAACTGGGACATAAATGATGTATTGACAATGAAATACTGGAAATGTCCTTTTTTCTTCTTCAGGCTGTTGTAATGTCATGTGAATTCTTCCTTTTATTTATTAAAGCTCATTTCTCTTCACTCAGTGTACAAGAGAAACTTAAATATAACAAAAGCATGACATAAAATAATAAAAACATCATAAATTATTGAAAACAGGAGCAGAGCTTTAAAATACGATTTAGATGTTTGTTCCCTTTTGGGGGCCATTTTGTTGTAATGGCCATATTTCAGCACTGTGGGTCTTGATCAACTTCTCTTGTGCAAATGCACTTCCTTCTTTTTGCAGTTCACAGTGTTGGCCTTCATTCTGCAGACAGAAGTCTGAGGAATTTATTCCAAAGTGTGGGAGAGCTGTTACCCGATGTTTCCTATCAATATTTAAGTGTTTCTTATTGTCTTCCACTTTTTGCCAACACTGTGTGTGCCCACAGTTGTCTGCACCTCTGTCTGAAGCAGGTGTACGGTGATGGGGCCTGGGCAGCTCAGTCCAACAAGAAGTTAAGATCTCCCTATGCAGGGCTTTTGGAGCTCACTGTTGTGGTGGGCACCTGAGCCTGCAGCAGTCCCGCTCTCAGTGTCTCAGGTGTTTGGAAAGTCAGCCATCTGTTCCCATATCATAACCACAATCACCTGGACCCATGGTTTGACCTTCTAAAAACAGAAGTCCTTCAAATCAATTTTCTATAAAACACTTTACAGTGGAGATTAATGTGCAATCTATTACTGAAGCAGAATGAAAAGTATTCAGAATAGGAATGAAACACAAGGTTATGATACTACGTGGCAGCATTTGCTTTCATATCCCACCTCGTTTTACAGGGTTCATAACTGGGTGTCACTGGGGCATTAAGTGCAACTTTTCCCAGAGCATCAGTGTATTCTTTAATGCTGTTCCAGATAAGGTTTCTTGGAAATTACCTACAAATTAAAGTATTTCTGATGCAGATCAGCCACACTGGAGCTTTCTTGTCTAAAGATCCAAAGAGGAGGATTCCAGCATTGGTGGCCCAGCAGAGCAGACAGGCTAACGGGGTTTCAGATGCAGAGAAATGCACTTTGTAGTAAAGAACTGCAAACATACAGTGAAGTGTGATTTGGCACTGAAGTTTCCTGCTCATTGATAGATATTTACAATAATGCTTGCACTCACTTAAGCAAACAAAGGAGGTCTATTTGTCAGCCTCTTTTTTATTTATTTGGGGGGTAGAGGATTTTGTAACACTAGCAACTCCATCTCTAAAAATAAATCCACTGTATAACCCAAATGTCTGACCTGCCCAATTCCTGCTGAATTGCATATGGCATTTTCAGGGAGGCTACCTGCAGAGGATGAGAATCACATTTCCACACCAAATGAGTCTTGCCAGCATCTCCTTAATGTGGGATCAAAGACCAGGCAGCATCTGTGCAGCCAATTCATATTTCTTCCCTTTGGCTCAGCTGGATTGGAGCTGTGCCAGCAAGGTCAGGGCTGCCCCTGACTATTATTGAAGGCAAAAAGCTGCTGCTGCCTCCACTGCCTGTGATCTGCTGATGGAGAGTTACTGTATAACCCATCCACGTGTGAATACATCCATTATAATCTGTCCTTGCTCTCTTCTGTGCAGAGCATCAAGCCATAGCAGATGGCCTCCCAAGGACTGGACTGCTGCATCTCATGCTATTCCCTCCCTTTTATAGCCCTGACATCCCTGCTTCCCACTCACGAGCTGCCTGGGGCTGTTCCATCAGTCCTGCTGCCTCCTAAGTCTTCAGGGGGGAAAAGAGACATGAATTTTGCCACAGTAGGGCAGGATCATGCTGCCTACCTATATGTGCAGTTGAGCACTAATCCAAACCTGGATGTCATAATTTCATGTGAATGCACAAGTTCCCTTGGCATCTAAATTTCTGTGATGATTTTGATTTTTTAGCTATTTTTTTTCCTTGCTATTCTGGAAAATCTCTAACTATGTGAAGAATGTATACATACATATATTTTTAACTTAGCAATGCAGAAGTTTTCTCTCTGGTTATTACTGAGTACATGATGCCCGTACAGACATTCTGAATTACTGGACATAGAATTTGAACCTCGTTAGCAGGGGTTACACCATACTGTCAGGACACTTGTGCCTGCAGCTATGTGCTGGCCTCCAATTGGTGCAGATCCTGCAGTTCTTCAGCTTTTCCTCTTTCCAAGTCCCTTGACATTTTCACTCCTAAAAGTGTAGAAATACAAAGAGATCTGAACTGTGACATGCAATGTTTTGTGTCCTTCTCAGGCATTACTGATCACTCCCTGTCTCAGAAGACTCTGTGTCCCGACTCCAGGACTTACCTGGGGGAGCACTACAACACGCACTCTCTCTTTGGCTGGTCACAGACTGCTCCAACTTTCCAGTGAGTTCTCTATTTCTACAAGTGGGTTTCAGGTGATGGTGAGACATTTTAAAAGCAGCTGCGTTACCTAGGAAATCTGTAATGGTACCTGATAAGAAGCAGCTACAGGTTTCACATTGCTATTTGTCATTAAGTATTTCAAGAAAAGAGACTCTTGTCAGAGGAAGCAGAATCTTTTCCACTTTTACTTTTCTCAGCTAAAATCAGGATTAGCTCTTCGACTGTTTATTTCCTGCAAGGAGAGCAAGATATTCCCATCCAGTGTTAGAGCTGTTCCCGTGCCAGAGCAGCAACAGGGAGATTCTTCCTTCCCTTCGCTACAGTGGCCCAAGCAAAGTAGCTTCCATGGCTGCTGGTGAAGGATCCATATTCAACTTCCCTGCTGCTGTTGGAGCCGCCTCTGATCTTGGCAGGCAGCGTTTTGCATTTTGCCTGGAGCTCTGTGGGGACATGGCTGAGCTGCATTGCAGCAGAGTTGTTACAGGCTACTGTAAAGCTGTCCCTTTGCAACAGGGAAGCACATAAAATGGGCTTGCACAGTCAGACTCTGCAGCTGCCAGGCTGGAGTGACATGGAAACTGACTGATTAAATCAAAGGGACAAATCACGCTTTTTCCAGCAGAGAACTAAGACATGGATATGTTTAATGACACAGTGTAAGTGCCAAAGCAGGGGTCCTTGCACTGGTTTATTTTAGCACTTAGCACACATTTGTACCAATTGTACTGTGGAGGCATCCAGGGGAGGTGGCTAAGTGAGCCTATTTAAGGTGTTGATGCACTTGCAGCTCTGTGCCAAGCCTCGAGGAAGGAAAGCTCTGGGAGAAAGCCAGAAGCAATCTGCTGGCTTCTGTGCAGCCCACCTTCACTGAGCAGAGCAGGAATCTCTCAGCCATTACTCTCGCTGGCCACGTAGCCCAGCATCCCAATCTGCTCAAAGGTCCTCCCCTTGCAGGAGCCCCCACCAGGGTTGTCTTTCAGCCTCCTCCAAGGTGGTGAATATTATGTGTTCCTGTGCTGCTTATTTTATTCAGCCAAACTTCCTTCAGGAGTGGAGGAAGCCATGAATATTTAGCATACCAGCATCAGCTGTAGGATATTGGCTGAAATAAATGACAAATTCATAATCATATATAAAACATTCAAAGAATTATGCTAATGAAGCCAGAGAATAGGAAATGTGTCATCTCACCCATGTATGCAGTCAAATGGCTTGAATTTGTATACAACAAGATAGCTACGACCATCCTGTGCATAGCTTAGGGCCAAGAGCTATTCACACATAATATTCTGTAAATAATTTCAGTCCACAAATGTATTTGAGAACATTAGAATCACTTTGGCAATGATTCATGATAGACTGAAAATTATCCAATAAATTACGTGTTGCAAACTGTTTGCGCAGATCTGGATCATAGTTGCATTGATCCAATATTACTCTCATTAGCACCTACTTTTGCAAGCAGAGCCAAATTCATACTGTAGAGACAAAGCAGAGCACTTGTATGCAGGACACCCTTAAAAAGGTTCAGGAAAAAGAGATTCCTGCCCCCCACAGTGCTCAAAAATGCAGTCATTGAGCTTGGTGGTGGCTGTACAACACAAACCAAGCAGGTCCCTCTTGGCCAAGAATTGGGTGTCCTGCTCTGCACAGCCCATAAGCATCATATTTGTAAGCCTATATGGAAACTACTGAGTTTGGTGTGGTTTCGTATATTATTGGTTTTTTTTTCCTATGGAAGCAAATGATAGATTTTAAAGCCTCTGAAGCACTACAGAAACAAAGTGAAATGTTGGCCATTACAAGCATGGGTGAAAGCTCTTGCACAGATCTCATTAAGCAAAGTGAGAAGGAGGCGGATGGTAAGCAGCATGGTTAATATTTCAGGCTGGGATTTCCCAGATAATCTAAGGAGTTTTGATTCCCAAATTTCTAATACAGCAGAATTGAACCTGAGTTTTGGCAATCTGTAGTGTTACAGTATCTAATTCCATACAGAGATTATCCTATATTGATCAACAGTTTAATAGGTTTGTTAAATAAGGCATATTGCACTTCATTCATCCTCTGATGGTGAGCAAAATCACTTTTAAAAGGCAAGGAAAAATTCATTCTGGCAACAATTCTGTAATGAAATCTCATAAATCAAATGATGAAGGAAATCAGGGGACAAGAAAGGGATGACATTTTGAAAGATTATGTGTTTGCTTTCTGTATTGATTTTAAATGTTGGTTTGGTGACATTTCTTTCTTTTTCCTCCTAACTTTTAAGTCCAGAATATTAGGACTTTATTTGCCAATACAAATCTCTAAATAAATCTTATATTGAAAAAAAAATATATATATTACTTCTTGAGAAATGGTAGGACATTAAATAAAATGAGTTAATATAGAAATAATTTTGTTTTAAATATTCACTTTGAGACAATATTGAGAATAATTGAAATGCAAAATAATTTTTAGGAAGCCTAGGCATATCTGACACAAAGTGTTTCATGGATGAGATAGATTTTAATTGTTTACTTTGGCCATTGAGTAGAACTTTCCATTGTTTACAGTTTTGGAGCCACACTTTCACATGACTCACATCAGAGTAATAAAAGTTTCAAGAATAACACCATCTCCAATAAAATTGTGCTGGAAAGCTCATGCTGATCACATGAATGTTTTTGGTTGCCTCTCTTATTTTTAATGACCTTGTTGCATTCTGCCATAGTGTTGTCCAGCAGGCAACTGGGAAGCGGGCGTTTGTCCTGAGTCGCTCTACCTTCGTCGGCAGCGGGAAGCACGCTGGTCACTGGCTGGGTGACAACAACTCTCAGTGGAAGGACATGCACTACTCCATCATCGGCATGCTGGAGTTCAACCTCTTTGGCATCCCCTTTGTGAGTCTGAAATCCTTCGAGCAATTGCTGGCTCGTCCCAGTATCACTTTAAATCAACTCAAATGTTTTCTAAAATAAGCTGCTAGAGATGGCCAGCAGTATCAGCCTGCACGGCGTAAGGAACTGCAGATTAGGGAAAGCTAAATGTCATCAATCTTGGCTGCTTAAACAGAAACAAAAATAGCACTGCCAGCTTCAGATTAAATCACCGTGTGCCACCCCAAATAGACCTCCGTGAAGTGTTTTATCATTGACTTGCCTCTGTAGGTTTCTGACTTCGCAAGCTGGGCTGGAGGATTTGTATAATTACTGAAATATTTCAGATCTTCCACAGTGATATGTAGGATATAGGAGTAAGTGAAATCTCATTCCCAGCAAAATTTGTGTCATCATATCCCGCACCATTCTCACACAGTCATCAGAATTCAGCATCTCCTTCCAACACATTATTTTTATTAAGAATCCTCTGGGTTCTCATTTTGGGCCTCAGCCACCACAGTCACAAACACTGACACAATGGTATTTTCTCTTCAGGTTGGTGCTGACATCTGTGGGTTTGCCTCCAACACAACCTATGAGCTCTGTTTGCGCTGGACGCAGCTTGGCTCCTTCTACCCATTTTCCAGAAACCACAATGCAGAGGGAAATGCTGTAAGTAAATAAAGTTATGCAGAGCCGCGGTCTATGATTGCTATATCGACAAAGATGATTTGTATTACTTTCTCAGAAATTAACCCGTCATTCATGGGTAAGCTTAACTGGGAAATAAGGAGTGCTGCACTGACAAGAGGAATCGAAGTAAGTTTTTCCTATCTGTAATGTAAAGATTAGTTAGGAATTCTGAGAAAATATATAGTATCTAACCCTGTAGAGGTAAGATTTATTCATTTCATCTTTCACCTACTGCAGCCCAGCTTTTATTTCAGAGCTGCTGAGTGTCCACACGTCTTTTCCTCACTTGTTGATGTCAGTTTTTGTTTCAGTGCTTGTACAAGTTTAGTAGGAGTTATTGAAAAGAAGGGGAGAGAGGTCCTTATACCGAAACTTGCTGTTTAAAAACAAGTTTCAGACAAAGAGTTAGAAGTTCCAAGGTCAGGTGTCAGTGCTGTCAGCCAAGGAGCTCATAGCTGGCATGAAATAATGCAGCCTCAGACCTGAGCTGTGGCTTCAACTTATCATAAAGTCCTTTCAAGTCTTGTCTCAGATATAAGTATCATCTTGTTTCTGACTACAAACAATTTGCAAATCTTGCTGTCTTCATAAGCACACTGTGTTACATGCAGCTTTGATGGAAATATTGTGCTAGTTCAGTAACTGCCATTTTATTACTTTTTTCTTCTGTAAACTGGACTGTGCATTATTGGGGTTAAGATTATGAGCTAACCTTAAGTTTTCTTCACAGTCCTGTCATCAAAATGTTGTAATGTTTATAACCCCCAGAAAGACCTCTTCTGCATGAAAGTATGATGTCCATCCAGAAAAAGGGCAAAGCAGGAACAATAACTTACAGTGCTCTTATGCTCTTACAGCGTAAGAGAATCAGAACTTACTCTGTTGTGGAACAACAGAAGGCAATAGCAGTGCCTTCTGCTGGGGTATAAGCACTGTGGAATCAGGGAAGATGACAAAGAAGAAGTAGCTCATCCTTCTTGATGAGCTGTGACAGCTCAAGAAGAGTGTAATCTCTATCCAGAGACGCTGCTATCTCCTAAATGAGAGTGAGGAGGGATAGCTGCCTGGGTTAGTTGTGCCTCTCACCTGGTGCTCAACCACTGGTTCAGGCCGTGACCTGGCAGTTCCCATGCACCTGTCATCTGCAATAATTCCTGAGATGTGCTGGTATTTCTCTCTAGGAGAACGAGTGGCTGTGGGGCTTTAGGTGCTGTTACAGATAACTATTTTCTATTTACCGTTGTTTACTAAAATTAGAGGCCCCTTATCTGTGCAGGTTCACTTGTCCCTTCGGGCATGCAAACTGGGATGTGACCCAGCTGAGTGAACGTTATTAACATTCTCAAGACTTAATAGGCAATTTAGTAGGAAAAGTGAGGAGAGCTGTGACTCGGCTGTGACCTAATGACAGAAGTGTCAGAGGATACACTGGGTTTTATTGGACCACTTAAACCCATTTGAAACATCGTGTTCTCTGACAGAAATGAACACGGTGTTTTGGTGACTCAGCACCACCTCAGAAATCTGTTTTTTTTCCTGAACTTTGGCAATGTTCATACAGTGTTAGACTTACAACAGCAAAAATACAGTGCAAGTTTCGAAGAAGTAGATGGGTGCTCCAGAGCTCGGAGGCACAGGAAAGATTATTCCAATATAGATGTAGTAATTGAGAAATTTAACTTAAATATTGAATTTAGTTAGCATTAAGTTAAATGTCAAAATAAAACCATAAACATTCACTTTGCCTATCCCACTGGGCATTTCAAATGGTTTAGTTAATACTTTTCTTGACTGCAAAGTACTGGATAGTATAAAACGCTCCAGTACTTCTGTTCCTCTTTTGTTCCATTATCCTTGGAATGCGTTTTATGCTCTGAGATTTGGATGAGAAAACTGAATCTCATGGGGGAATTTTGTGCAGGCAGAAGGGAGCTTAATGCCTTATTGGTAAGCCCAATTTAGGGCTGGTGAAGTTAAGACAAGGGGATTGGAGGAGATGCAGGTCTTCCTGGCGCTAGCACTGCCATGGGCTGTGTGCTCCATGTCAAGTGGCAGTGGATGGACACTTTGGCTTTTAAATAGATCCAAAACGTCCACCTGATGGTGGGATCCAGCATGCATGCCCCTCTTGCTCCAGAGAGCATCTCCCTGCATGGGGCACCCAAAGCAATGGGCACAGGAGGAGAACTGAAGCTGAGATTCGTGTGTTTGGAGAAGATTTTTCCCCATTGCACCCAGCAACTTTGGTCATTCCCATTAGCTTTTGCAAAGGCATGAATTCATTCCCACTTTTCATCCTTGTACAAAAAAGGTTAAAAAATAATTATGGTTTTGCCTTTGTTTGCAGGCTGTCTGCCTTCTCTTTTTCCTCTGTTTCTCTTTCTCCGTACCAGAGGACAGAGAACTTGCAGTTCTTAACACACTCTTCCCATTTGCAAATCATCACTTTTGCTTATACAAATATTCACTTTCATAGGATAATACCAGCAACAGCTTCCCTTTGGATGCACACAGGTTTCTCTGTTGAATTTGCATCCATTTTTGTAATGCACACTGCAAATCAAAGCTTTTCCTTCACAGGCTCAAGACCCAGCAGTTTTTGGAGCAGAGTTTGCCAAGATAGCTCGAGCTGCGCTCCGGATCAGATACTCCCTGCTGCCATACCTCTACACCTTGTTCTTTGAGTCTCACGTCCATGGCAACACGGTGGTACGGTCACTGATGCATGAGTAAGTTTGGAGTCTCTCGTCTTTATCCCATTTTACTCACAGTAGTTGAGCTTCTGTGTATAACCAAACTGGCTCCTGCCTGGTAATAGTGATGGCAAGATCATTGCATGCTCTCTCTTAAAAAGAACAATTTTAAAGGGAAATCTAATCTAAATATGCAACAAAAAGAACTTCTAATATATGTGATGGATATGCATATTAAAATACTGCTTATATTTGTTTCTACTGAAAAAAGACCTTAGTGAAATAGTAAGAAAGTTCTAGTTTTAGGCAAATATGCAGCCCTCTCTTTCAAAGTTAGGGGTCAAATACCTATATTTTCTGCACTTGAATCAAATCCGTAACATTTGTGTTCTGGCACGGAATATCAGAAAAGCCTCATGGAGAGAAGGCTCCATTTTCCAGTCATCCACGGTATTTTCATTCTCCAATTTCTCACTTGCATCTGCATGCTATGTGTGATACCTACATCTGTTTCCACAAATGGCACAGGAAAACAGAGATAGAAACATTCAAGTGTAGAAGCAGGTGCACAGAGAAGATTAATAAACACATGCTGAAAAAAATCTCAGAAAATGCAACCTCAGTTTTTGGAACAGCTCTTCTTTTTTCTTTTTGGAAGAAAGTGAGGTCTAGTTTCCCTCTTGGCACCCTTAATTTGTTTTCTACCTTCCTTTGGTAAATTTTCTTTTTCAGAATGTGTTACGCAAAGTTGTGAGCAAAAGGAGTGCAAATAACGCATGTGAAAGGCTACTGCCCAGAGCTCTGCCACAGTTCAGTCTTATCAGTGCAGGTTATGTCCTGGTCTGTTTAATGTTCCTTTTCCCTTTAGGTTAAAAACATTTTCGTTAAAGGGTAAGGCATCTTTGCAAATTAAACTGAGATTACTCTAAAGTGCAGAACATACTAATACAGAATGATAATGCACAAAATCTATTTTGCCTACTCAATGTAATGGCTAACTGATTGGTTTTAAAGGCAGTATCTTTCCTCTTTTCAGCCTGCTACATTATTGAAGAGAGTAGCATCTGAGAGCAGTTTGATGGGGACTCCTGTCTTACGTGGGTTTTATGTTCTTTCAAGGACTCATTTTAACAGTATTTTTGGTTAATCAGATTTATGTGAATATTGAGAATGACCAAGTTACTTTGGGAATTATATTAGCTAATCTCTGCTAATACTGCATGACTTCAGTGATGTTAAGGCCACCCATCTGTCCATTCCCTGTGTATTTTATCTGTGCTCTACTTGGGCTCATCGGAATTACTGAATTTGCTTTTATTTTAATTGTAGAACAGCCTCAGAGGCACCAGCTGAAACTCCTGTTGAGTGAGACTATGCCAGAAGATGCACTCCCACCATTAGCTGATATTTAGCTGTGGTACCAGACTGAGGTTTTTACTGGAAGTAAAACCTCTAAAATGCAGGAAGGGAGTGCAGAGATCAGGAGATCAGCACAGACTGACTACCCAGGTGCCGTCCTAGTGGCCATATCACTTGCTGATATTGTCATAGCTGGAACCTGAAATTGCTTAAAAATATTTCTTACTGTTATTACTTAGTTGTGATTGCTGTTGTTACTTAGTAAGGATTTCTTACTATTTCTTATTAAGGTTCCTTGGTTTAGAGTGTCTGTGCAAGCAGAGAAAGTAACTGAGATGCTAATAAATGGAGAAATGTGGGCTGTAGAGACAGAACTGAAACAGAATTTTTGAGGTCCAGATGATGGAATTTTACATCGAATCTTTCTGTTTCTTGTAACAAACAGAGGACAACTAAGAAACTGTACTAGCTCTTTAGGTGAAGCTGTTACTCACAACCCTCACTATGAAAACAACTCTGGCCAGGCAGAGTCTCCAAGCAATACCTATTTCATGCGGTCATTTCAGATTTTTCATTTCATTTCAAACATTTAGGTGTTCATTTCAAACAACAAACAGGAACAGAATCCCAGTAGATTCCTGTGTATGTTTTAAGTGTCTCCTGCAGAGGCTTTCATTTGGTGAACCAGAGATGTTGGCAGCTTGGCTGTCCAAAAAGACCTGGGGGTAATAATCCATTACTGTGCTCCTGGAGGGGAAAGCTCTGCTTAATAGCCTACCAGGGGGGAAGTAAAACAGCAGAGAGGCTGCTATCTAACCGTGGGAAGCATGGAGATGGAATGCAGCATCTTTCATAGATCACGAACACGCTGCGCTTAATGGCTTGTATTTTCAAAATGGGAGAATTCATTTGTTTGCTGAATTTGTGGTTGCTGTAATTGCAAAAGGAAGCAGTGCTTAGTGAGATGTTGAGATGCTTCTTCCCAAGCTCAAGTAAGATGATTGGCTTCCCTGCTGCCAGTATTTCTTGATCAGATTTTCCCCTGAAATCTCCCACAACATAATGCATTGAAACAATATTCTAATTTTATTACAGTGAAACTAAAAACACTGAGAAGCTGTTGAGAGGACAGAAAAACGAACATATTGCATTTCAGGAACCTGAAGTCCAGGAGACTCCTGAGCACCTCTCAGGAGGAGATCCACATTCTCTGGGCAGCTGTGCCAGAGCTCAGCCACACGCACAGCACACAAGTGCTTCCTGGTGTTCAGGTGGCACCTCTGTGTGCCAGTGTGTGCCCCTGGGTTCTTGTCCTAGCAGAATCCAAGCTTTTTTTTTCCAAATGTATTAGATCCTAGAGCACAATGTTCTGCCTCTTCTTTTCTCCGTCTTCTTGGTCCTGGTCTGTGGCTTCCATGAGCCCAAAGCCAGCCTTCCCCTGTGCAGTGTGCCAGCTGCAGCCATGCATTGCATCCTACCAGTCCCAGAAGTGGACACAGTGCTGCTCCAACATTAAGGAAGCAGATTTCTTGTGGCAGACAGTAATGCTGAGACATGTTACAAGTTCGATAAAAATGTGATTTAACAATGTGTGTCTCTCTTTTGACACCAGATTTACCTCTGATCAGCAGACTCATGGGATAGATACTGCCTTCCTTTGGGGACCTGCATTTATGGTTGCTCCTGTTCTTCAAGAGGCAAGTACCATAATTTAAAAATGCCATCACACAAGCATAAAAGAAATCTGCTTAGGGCATTCCATGACATTCAGGGAATGTTTCCTCATATCTATCCATTTCTTCCTTGCTCTGTCAGCTTGCAGAAAGCATTTCAAGACAAACCCAAGTAATGTAGGGATGCCTGGCGCTGGAAGTGGGAGGATGCAGTTCAAGGCACAGCATTTCCCTGCTGCTGGGCACTATGCAGGTGTAAACTGGCAGGACACTGTTCCTCACGCTCCTACATCTCTGCTGGCAGCTCCCTCCAAGGGCACATACAGCAATAATTGCTGGGTGAGGGAGAAACACAGAGGTACTAAAGCAAATTGGTTTTGTTTTCACTTTGTGTCCACTGTGTTTGGGAACTGCAGCATTTCAAGCGCCAGTCTAGGTGTTACCCAGCAGCACATGCAAACACAATCATTACAAAATGATGACAATGTCAGCTGCTGATATAGCAGATTTCAAAAACCCAGCGTTTTCCTATGGCTGTGCTGGCCACATGTTGGGGCTGGGGAGTAGCTGCTGACCTGGACCCCAGAACAGAGCTGCAGGTGGGTTTGCTCTCACTGCTCAGCTGAAGCAAGGGTGGGCTCCTCTCCTTGCCTGCTGATGGCTGCTAGCAGGGTGCAGCCTGACAGGAGTGCCAGCAGTGTGTAGCTGAGCAGGGCAAGCACACTCATGTGATGTATCCTGGGGCAGTTTGTGATCAGTATGCTGCCAGAATATCTGAGACATTTCCTACCTGATGCTGATGATCAAACACATAAGCAAGCCATTGCTTGGCACATTTTTTTAATATAAACCTTGCACCTTTGTGAATTTAAATTGCAACTCTAGTTCCTTCATTCCAGCTCCTCTGTGGCACTTCATTTGTCAGCCCTTCATCTTCATGTTCCCCCAGGTTTCTAATAGCTAGTGACTAACACGAAGATTTCACAGGGTCTCAGACCAGCAAGGTGATGAATAATGTGGAGAAAGAGGGCAATGAGCCAGAGGTTGCTTCCTGCAAATAAATAAATGAAAAGGATCGTTATAAGGATACATAAAACGATAGAGAATCTAGATTAGTGATTCTTTGTGTTTTTGGAGGACTGCAGCAGAAAAGAAGGCCTGGTGCTGGTGGCCTTATGGGGAAGCAGTGCTTTGGGAATGACACCTCACTGGGTGTATGGTGGCAGCCAGGGCTTGTTCCTACAAGCAGGGCAGAGGCAGCCTGTGGATCCTTCACCATGGTGTCACCAGCCACCAGTGGCTGCAACAGGGCACACGCACCTGGAGAAGATAGATACATCTTCTGTTAGAGGATACCATGGGTGGCTTTCCCTCTGCTCCTTGAGACATAGGGAACAGCCATCACAATGAAAATGGGGAATGCCCTTACACCCTGCTTGTTACTTAGGGCCTCGCTAAGGCAATTAATAGTCAGATGGCAATCAAACACTCCTCTGCCAGCCAGAATATCCAGAGCTGTTGTAACAATGCTGGATAAATCTGGGGAGAGGAGCATCTTGACTTTATTGAGATTTCTCTCAATCTTTCAAGGTGTTTTACAAATACTGTCAGCTGGCAGTTGATGAGCAGACAGGGTATGCTACCCCACACTGCTTGCAGAGCTGAGGCACTGTCCCTTCAACATCCAGCACTGCTGCTGAGGGAGGCAGGCCACAGGACAGGACACTCTCCCAGTTTAGCAATTGCCATGTTCTAATACAAGATTTGCATGCATTAACAAATCAGCCACTTCTTCATCCTTTTGTTGGTTAATACGAAAAACAATCCCTGTTACGGCAAGCAGTGGCCATCTCACTGCTCTTTTCCTTGACTGTTCATATCCTCCCAGGGAAGGACCATAATTCTGTAAAGCAGGCATCTGATTCAAGAAACAAAGTCAGTCTGTTTGTGAAATGAGCAGCTTGTGCCCCAAAAAAGAAATACGCTTTGATTCTGACTTTTCCTAGAGTGATTAATTTGAAGTGCCTTTGGCTTCATTTTGTGTATTAACACGATACCATTCATGCTGCCAAATAAAGTGTGGCAGTTGTGCAAATAGCAGTTCATTCTCTAATATAATTTATCTACAACTTTAAATGGTTGCAAACAAAGCGAGCATCTGTGCACCCTGCTTGCAGACCTTTCTCTCTGCCTGTTCTGCAGGCAGTGGGCCCTGCAGAGTCTGCCACAGGGCCCACTGGCATTGCTGAGATCTTATGTCTGCAAGCCATGGAGCTGTGTTCCAGGCTGAAATAACCCTCTAATATTGACTCATCCCACTGAAATGCAGTAAAAACCCCCAGACAGGATAGGGTCATCTATTTAGCATTATAGATCAGCCAGCACCAGTCCATTGCTGCGATAATAATTCAACCTTCATAGCTTAGATTTTATGTTATTAGAGGACTGAGTGTACATCTACCCATGCTCAAATATAATAAAGCTAATGTAATATCAGAAATGTAAAAAGAGACAGACTTAATCATTTTATAACAATTACAGGGAGCAAGATCAGTGGATGTGTATTTCCCTGAGGCAACATGGTTTGACTACTACACAGTGAGTATTTTTAAAATTCTGTTTGCTACATTTTTACAGAACTTAATATGTCACAATTCCAGCAAAATAACTTTTAGCAATGTTCAGCAATAATTTTACCTCAGCATCTGTGTTTAAGAAAACCGGAGCACAAAAGTCGGCACCAGGCTAGCTGGGAGAACAAATTGCACTGCTTTCAGTAGTGTTTTGTTTTCTATTTTTGGTTTGCAAAGCTCTGAAGACTCAGAGAACCGACTTTTCAAGAACAGCCTAGAAATTCATGACACTGTCAAGATTTCTTTTCTTTCTGTTCACCCTCACTGCATGCTTAAATTATTGTACCCAAATCCTTCCCTGTGTAAAAACAGACAGAAACCTGAGAACATGCTGCCAACAGTTTTGTGCATGGGGTTTTGCACATGCATTATTCTTGACAGAAGGCATATTCACAGAGCATCATGAGGATCCCTCCAGAAGATGCTTCCAGGAGGTGCAGACTGAGCTACTCCATGGAAGAAGCCAACCCTTCTAGCTCCAGGTCCTGCACAGCTCGACCACTCAAATGCCAACCCCAGTGCTGTGGTTCCCAAAGGGCTCAGCTCTGAGCTGTGCTCTGCTGAAATACACAGGATGAAACCAGCAGTGGGCTCAGCAGTAGTTAGGTTGATGGTAAGAGCTTTGGAAACCTGAGCCCAGAAGCACAAGGCTGCTGCTAGCTACCCCGGGCTGTGCTGCCTGAGCAGCAGGAAGGACAGAGATATTCTGGAAGGAAATTCGGGCTTATTTTTTAACTAGAGTTGCTCTGGGCATCTGCAGCATTTGGCTGGTGTCCTCAGAGGGTGTTCATCCAGCTCTTTCCCTTTTCTACTTTCATAAGGCCATGGTGCCGTGGGGTTTGACCATTTTGCTCAGACCTCCTTGCCACTGTTCTCCCTGTGCTGGGGATGGCATGGGGACATCATCCTGATACACTTATGTCTCCTGCCTGTGGGGCATGCCCCATGTATTATCAAAGTGCAGTTCCCAGCACTTGGCACCTGTTTGCTGTACCCACAGTTCTTGTCCAGAAGTAAGGCTGGATATAAATGTAAGCTGTAATTACCATTGACAGGAGCCAAGCCCCCTTGTGACATACTCTACTGACACCTGGTTTGGAGGGATTAAAACAGAAAGAAATGATGGAGAGGATTAATCCCAGTTGCCTACAGTTTCCATCTTCAAATGTAAAAGGAAAGGCTTGTCCTTAAAAGAGAAGAAAAACCTACAGTTTACATTCCCCAGTGATTATGAATCACTCACCTTACATTGAAATGTGACAGTTTCCATATGCATAAAAAGACGAAGCAAAGGCTTCTTTTGCTTTTTGCTTTGTGCCTTGATGAGTTTTTCTTTTTTTTTCCTTTCCACAGCATACAGAGTAATGATACCATTTTTAAAGACGCTTTCATTCATGATGGTTGTGTCTTCATGCATATGCATCACTGCAGGGGCTAAATTCTCTTTCATGTTAAAAAAAAAAAAAAAGGAACTGGAATAACACTCCTGAATTCTCCTTTTGTCTCTAGTTGAGAAAAACCAGTGTATTTGAGATGAAAATACATCCTTTGGTCTTTTTTTTCCAGCAATATATGATGACATTATCGCCCAGTTTTGCATTTTTTTTTAACTGCGTCAATTTTTATGTTAGGGTAAGAAGATACCAAGTACCTGGCACAAGACATATGCTACTGTCTACGCCCCACTGAACAAGATCCCTCTGTTCATCCGTGGAGGCCATATTCTGCCAGAACAGGCTCCAGCCTCAACAACTACCAAGAGGTAAAGTCATTATCCTTGTCCGTTTTCAGAAACAGCACCGTGGGTCAGACCCACAGCCAGCCAAAAGGCATTAAAAAAAATGTGGAAAAGAGGCTATGTGCAACTTCTAGATGACCTCCCAGCTGATAAGCACGGTATTTTTATCCCATTCCTTGCTCTGTTGGATTAAAGTCACCCCGGAGGTGATTCACGTCATTGCTTGCACAGCTGAAACTCTACAGCTTTACTGGGAGAAGCTTTGCACCTCTTGCTGCTATACTGACCAGCTGTCAGCCATCCACAGGAAACATATGCAAGGGGAAAATGCATACCTCTTGTCTTTGGATGAATTTATCAAATGCCACTGGCAAGATGGAGATGCTCCAGTCTCCACTGAGGAAGTTTGTTTCCCCACACCCATGCTAACGTGCTGGCCTCAGGGCTGATCCATGCTGAGAGGCCAAGGGAGCAGGAGAGGAGGGAGCAGTTCCATGTATGATTCAGGCCAACTCACAGAGAGGTAGCCTCAGTAATCGGCCACCTCCCAGGCTGCCCAGTTGTCATATGTTAGGCCACGAGAGAAGGGGAACTTGGCCATCCCATCACTTCAAACGCACTTCGTAGCATTTTTGCACTTCAATTAAACAAGGCAAGGTAAGTTTTCATCATGATTTCAAGAGCTGTTTTAGGTTATTTGTCTGTGTGGCCCTTTTGGTAACCTTGAAATGAGAGATGTGTTAAGAAATTTTTGTTAAATAATGTGTAATGGATGGTGGACAGAAGCCTGTACTGAAATCTCTTCTACGTGTTTGCCTACAGCCGTCTGAACCCATTTGGACTCATTATAGCCCTGGATGAGCATGGAGAAGCTTCTGGGTCCCTCTTCTGGGATGACGGTGATTCCATCGGTGAGTTTGATCTCCCATAAACAGGGCCTGCACAGGGCTCCCCTTGGCTGCCTTCCCAGTGGTTCAAAAGTACTGACTATTGCTGTACACAGCCAGGATGCTGTTCTGGGGCTGAATGTACAGGATGGCAGCAGAATACTCTGGAAGGCTGAGGTACAGTACATTGCATAAAGGGAGGACCCAGGAAGTTCCACCTGAGCTTGAAGAACTTCCTTACCTTAAGGGAATGTAGCACTTGTTCCAGGTTGTGGTCTCCTTCTCTGTAGATACTCAAATCCACCTGGATGCTTACCTGTGCAGCCTCCTGTAGGGAACCTGCTTTAGCAGAGGGTTGGACTCGATGATCTCCAGAGGTCCGTTCCAACCTCTTTGATGTTTCAAAATTGGAAATGGCTGCTGTGCTCAAAAAGGCAGCAAACCTGCCAATAAGAGTAGAGGAGATTAAACAACCCGCAAGTAATCCTTGTGAGACATTAGCCACTTGCTATAATTAAAGTGAACTGCTCTTGTTTTTTTTCTCTTTCTTGATATTAATCCTCCTCATTCTATGTTTTGACAGATACTATTGAAAATGAAAACTACTTCTTGGCTAAATATACATTCAGCGCAGTAAGTAGCAGTGCACACAGCACCTACATACTTGTAGCTGCTGATCAGTGCAGTAAGACACTGATATTTAACTTTCCTCTGAATAGCATTTTCCTTATAGCTCAGCCTTTTAAACTGGTAACCTACCTCATGTTTTCGTTTGCAGACAGCTGCAGCCATGAGGCTGCAGTTTTGTGTTTGCCTCGTTGACTGTCCTAGTGACACACCATTAACATCCCTGGTGTGATATGAATTTGAAAATCTACTTTTTCAGCTCAAATATTTCTCTTGAGTTGCATCTTCTGTATATGGGGGATGTTTTCCTTGCCTTCCTGCTGCCAGCACTTTTTTATTTTATGGGTAGGAGAGGGCATCAATTTTTTAGCTTTGATCACACCAAGCTTGTATTTTCCGTTGCATGGGTTACCCTGTGGAGTAATTCAGCAAGCCACCAGCAGTCTGTAGTGCTGGTAGATGCTTTGTGAAGCTCAGAGTCAGGGCAGCACTGCCTTCCATGTACTGTTCGCTTCTCACACATATCCTGAGAAAGCTAAATAAAAAAACCCATCAGCCTGGGCTTCGACACAGAAAAGTACTGTAAAATGAACCCACTGGAAACTCATTAAATGCATGACAGCAAGTTGTGGGAGTTACTGAAGAAAATCTTAACCTACTTCAGCAATCTATACAAATTATATCTCATCTACAACTCCAGTGTTTGCATACGCTGTGGCACAGTTTTCACCTAAGTAGTCTTACAGAAAATCTTCAGAGGAGTAAAATCATGTAAATACTTATGATGATATTGCTCTTAGAATGTGTCTCCTCTGGGAGAAAGAACAAGTAGGAGTAAGCCAATGGGATTTGTTATGAAGTCCTGTATGTATGTGAGGTATTTTTTGGGAAGTAAAGCTGCTTGTTTAGAATTTAAATTACATTTTTAATTTATTTTCCATGAAAAAGCACTTTTTCCTCTTAAAAAAGAAAAGGGAGGTGGATTTTTCAACAGCAAAAAGGAAGAAAAATCACTTCAGCTTTTTGTAGTCTGTGTATAATAATTTATTGCAGAGAGGCTAAAGAAAAAAACAATATCCAGTTTTATATTAAATTCTGGTCTGTGTGAATTAGATTGTTGATTTACTGGCTTTTCCATTTCTCATTGCTCATATCTGACTTCTGTTGTAAATCCAAAACTGAAGTCCCTATCTGCATTCCAATAATCTCGAATGCCAATTTTTTTATTATATATTTATAAAGAAAAAAGTCCATCTCAAATAGCAAATTGCAGAAATATGAGAAACATGTTGAGCATCTTGCTGTATGTTGCACACTTCTATATTCCTAAAAAAATAGGGATGAATAGTTTAATGACCTCTACTTTTAGAAAAGCACAAGGTTTTGGTCCCTCAGAGATTAACTGGTAAGGTATCACATCACATAATGACAACATTTACTCTGGATCCTGAGAGTTTTGTGGGTAACAGCTGCAGGGGTAGACCCTCTCTTTTATGTTTTCATTTAACAGTCAAGAAGTCCAAAGGAGAATTCAGAATTAGTGCAGGCACTGAAGCCTTAGAGAATGGTTCCAGCCGCCTGCTCTTGCATATTACCTCACTGCAGTAGATGCTTTAACTCTCTCGTCACCTTCCTTTTTGGTACACACGATGGCCAAGTGACCTGAATCAAGCTGCCTCATGTGTTAAAACTACTGATCTAGAAAAATACATGAGTTCTTTTTTAAAAACAGGTCCAATTTTAGGAAAAAATATGTTTGAATAAATTGATGAACAGATTTTATAGCATTAGAGCAAGATGGCAAGAGAAGAAGTCATGACTGATGCTCAGAAGTGCAGGAGAAAGTCCTGACTGCCAGCCTCAGCTCCAGGACTTGCTTGTGTTCTACATTTACAGGGCTTTGAGTGCTACCCATATGGTTCCTAACTCCAAATTGAACCCATTGAATTGAAGCTTTAATCATGCTAGGTGCTTAGGGAGGGTAAAGTCACTAATTTTCCTGGATTACCACATCTCAATCTCTCCAAGGCCTTGAAGGAGAGTAGATCTGGACTCGCTCAACCTTTCACCATGCACCACTGAAATTACAAAGCTAATATATGCAAAATATTCCATCATGGGCTTCTCCTTGGCATCTTCTTAAAAAGTTGTGATTGCATAGTGATTCTTCATTTTCTGAGCAGTGTAGTTCATCTTTATTTCCTTAACAACTTCAGTCACCTAACAAGTGCAATGATACCTCTTTATTGTTGTATGGGTAATTAATGTCACTGGTGATCCAAATGAATTTGTTTAATGACTTCATACATCCCCTTGGTTTATCCCTAAACACATGATATACAGTGAATTAGAAGCAGAACAAACACAGCTCTTTGAACACGTATTCCTTCAGCGTCCTTGGGTCTGGAATATGTATATCAAAAATTCCTAGCAGGCACTGTGGAGATGTAGGACATAGAATAGAGGCAAAATATCTAGCAAGTGATGCTTGTGAAAGATGGTAATCATTTAAAGCAGTTGCTGATGTTGATTAAATCAATCTCAAGGTCACTAATTGAATCTCTGTATCTGGATTTTGGTTTTGCATGTGCTACTGTGCCCTGTAAATGGGTACAAGAACCAAATTTGTATTGATTACAAGTAGGAGAACAGGCCCAAGAAGATTCCAAATAAATGCTGTAAATGCTATTTTGTTTCTTTCCTTGCTAGCTTGCAATGATACACAAGACCCTTCTATGCGAAAATTTTCTTTTATGTTCTCAGACTTGTTTCTCTACACTGGAAGACATACCTTGGTTGACAAAAGTGATACTACAACAGTAGTGGCACACAAGTAGGTCACCTCCAAAGAGATGTGATAGTCCTAAAATGTTCTGTGGTTTTTTTGAAGGGACACCTGAAGACAGAAATACTTAAAAATGGTTACCAAGGAGCTGACTCTCTGAAGTACAACAAAATCACCATTCTTGGCCTGAAGCTGAGACCTGATGCCGTTGCTGTGAACGGAAGGGCTGTCCGTAGTGATACCTTCTCCTATGAGCTGAATGGGGTAAGAGCTGTGCTGAGGAATTATGAAAAATCTTAGGGGAGTGGGAATAGTCGATGAGTAGCAATATTTCCCATCAACAACTTCTACATTTGCAAGTATAAGCGGAGATTAAGTACAACAGTCTGAATTTTAGAAAAAAAAGGCGCTACAGAAAAAGTTGTTATGGGAAGCGTGAATCTTTGTTATTGCAGCTACGCTCTTTCTCATGTTTTTAAGCTAAAAAATAATGAAAAGAAGATATACTTCCACAAACTAGGAGAGATGTTACCTGTTTCGTGGGCGTTATCATCATTCTGATAAAATAAGAAAACCTATCAAAGTTATTAATCAGTTACTGAAAAGAGCTGGCGGAGATACTTTTGTACAAATACTTGGCATCCATAAGTGAATGCAAAGAGGCTGGCTCTAATGAGCACCCCCCTGCCATCAGAGGAAAGAAAGGCAAACCTCTGCCATGTGTTTGAACTTCTAAGGAAGTTGTTGCAGCAGTGAGACAGCAGCTGAAGTTTCAGTGTCTGAAAGTGAAAAATCACTTCTCCAGCCTCAGCAACCCAGGTCAGTGTCCATGGCTTGCTTGTACTGAGCTGCTTCTTTAGTGCCAGCAAGGAAATGCTGCACAGGGGATGGGCAGGACAGCCCTAACACACAGTTTCAATTTCCTTTACCATGGAAGAATAGAGAAAAAGAGCAACACCAAGTAAAATTCCCTGTCTCTGGTCATTTGTTCCCTATGTGTCACCAGTTATGTGTCACAGCTGAAATGCATGTGGTGCTCAGGTCTGAGCCTAGAGAACTCCCGGCACTGCGTAGCGCTGATCACTGTCTCACTGCTCTAAGATGCAGAGCTGAGGCAACAAGCTGTGGATATTACATCTTTTACTCTACCTATTAGGCCTAATGATTCAAGTTTATTTGTAATCAAAGAGTGATCCTCATTATATGAACTTGGTTCTAACATCTATTTTATTGAAGAAATCTGTAAAAGAAGAAAATTGCTGAATAAATTTCTGCCATGGAAAATCATAAAAAACTCACTTTCAGAGACAATGTCATAAAATAAGTGTAATCAGTCTTACCTCCAGGGAAGAAATTGTTTAACAGCCAAACTGCCTCTAAGCAAGCTGAAAGCAACATAAATGTGGCAGGGTAAAGAAAACACTCCATTGAGACATGCTCGAAAGCACCAGTCTCAGAGATCCAGATGATAACTGCTCACTAACAGCAGAACATAAAAAAGATGATTAAGAAAGAGCATAAAGCTTCTCACAGAAGTATCATTTAAAATTTGATTAAAGCACAAAAGGTGATCTTTGTGACTTTGTGATTACTTCAAATACCACTGAAAAAAGTCACCAGGCTGCTGGAGCAGAAGTCCAACCTGAACAAAATTTAATACATTTAAATTAAACTGTAACCCAGACAAGTTAAATACATTCTTCTCACTATTGTAAGAGATGTAGTCAAGCCTCTCCCATCATTCCTGTATAGCCATTGTAATGCTGTTGCCTATAAACCTCTCAAATGAGAATCTCTCTAAAAAAACAAACAAACCAACCCAAAAAGCATTAGCAGCCTGGGTTTAGATATGAAAACTTACAACTCCTGAAATTAAAAAAAAAAAAAAAAGAATTCTAAATGTCACATTTGCTGCTTTCTCTCAGGCTTAATGAGATTACATGCTGCATAATAGTCTAACAAGCACAAAGATTGTTTGAAGGAGGATAGTAGGAAGTAGTGCTTCTACTGTATTGCTTTTGCATTACAGAAAGCAAATTTGCCTAGAAGTATTGTTTAAGTGCATAATTGAGCCGTAGATTTTTGTACATAAATAGAAGCAGTTTGCTTACTAATAAGCCACTTTCTGGTTCATGCAGTGCTACCCTGACATTTGTAATGCCACGGAATCCTCCCATTATTAGGATTGTTTATTTTTTTTTCCGCTGGTAGTACCGTGCCCTGAAAGCCACACAAACTCTCCTGTCACCACAGCAGCAATGCTGGAGGAGCAGTTCTGTGAATCAGGCTCCTGCTGAAAATGAAATGCCCTTTGTATAGAAACACTGTCATTTTTCTTCCATGTTTCATGTGCTGAGGAGCAGAAACTCAGGCTGGGGCAGCCTTTCTGTTTTTCCAGTGCTTTTTTGGTTAAGATTTGGATGGATCTGCAGTATTTTTGTCTGAATCTGGCTCTGAGTTTGAGTACAAGGCAAATAATTCCAGAAGGGGACTTCCTGCTGGCCAAGTAGTCGTGGAGGTCTGTTCCTGAGGGAAGATGAAAATATTGCTCTCTTTGAAGAGGTGATGTAAGCATGGACTCTTTAGAGTCATGTTAACGTGAACTTGTGGGAGGGCTAAGAAATAGCTAAGAGGTTCAAATGGATATAATGCATTTTAAGAGATTATGAATTGTGAAGTGTAATGATGAAAACTGGTGAAGAAGTGAAAATGGAAATTACGTGGGTAGCATAAAATATACCAAATTTAACACAGAACAGAGAGAGAGGCAGGTATCGTATACATAATTTAATATCTAATTCATGTCACTAATTAATATTAAGATGTTGCTGAATTTCTAAAAGGGATGTTGAATTGGATGCTGTCATCAGATGAGCAGTTTTGCCTATCGGGTGTGGTTGAGGGAATCATGAAGGCCTAAGCCCAGTATCTCCTGTTTTCTGATGGTCTTTATTAAGTTAACCCAAGATTGTTCACTATTTTTTTGTTTTTGTTTTTTTTTTCCACAGAAACTCATTTTGGGGATTTCTGTCCCACTTACTCATGAACTCAACCTGGAAATTTATTAAAATATTTAGAAAATGCTGATATCCGTGGCCCTCAGATGTTGACCTCAGATGATTTTAATATAAAGAAGAATTTGGCCATTAAAATGTAGCTGATGCACCTTTTGTCTGCCTTTTTCCTGTGTATTATTTGTAATTCAGTATTTTTTAAATACAATTTTTAATAGTAATTAATGAGCATTGCCACAAACAAACAAAAGCCCTAACAGCTGGACAGCCAGTTTAACTCACATAGCCTTGTCCTTGGAGAGGCCGAGAATGACTCTCTGAAACACATCTCTCCTCAGGCTGGGGCACATGGGTCTGCTTTGTACCTCAGCTGCTTCTGGCTTGCTTGGGAACAATCTCCCAAGATCATGAGGACCTCCAGCTCATAGTCTCTGCAGTGCTGCTGTTAATTCCATTTATGATATAAAATAGAATCTGCCATTTACTGGCTGCTTTACATCTGGCAATAATCCCAGACTACAAAATCTACAGCTGCAGAGACCACTTGCTTTCGTTATCCATGCTCCAGTACTGTCATAAACACTGCTTAGGTACGTCTTGGGATCCAGCCATTACATACAGAATTGGTTGAAAACCTGGGGAATTTCTTTTGAGAATCTGATTCTCTCTGGAGACTTTTTCCAGTGTGGGGGTATCTTACCACACACACGGTTGCTTCCCCTCCAAAGTACACCTCCAATGACATCTGGCAGGGGATATACACTATGGCTGGATCAGAACTTCACAAACTCCACTGTTCCAACACTTTTAGCTCTAAGTTATAGCATTATTTTTACCTTTTTTGATATTTATTCAAGGAAACTCGAGTTTCAATTTGCAACAATAAGAGCGTTCACAGCTGACAGTTACTCTAGTAAAGACCTCGCAAATGGGCTGGGATCCAGTGTAGGATGCTGGCACAACCCTTCCCAGCAGTTAAACTTCTCTCAGAGAATTGCAGGAAGGCTAGACTTCCCCAAGCTTCTCAAAGTGTTTGTGACTCTTCCTTCTCTCATCTCACGTTGCAAGAAAACCCAGATTTGTCTTTCAAAATTCACCACTAATAAGTCTCAGCCACAGCATACTGTCCCCTCGAAGGATTCACCACTGCTTACTTTTCAATGGGAAACTCTTCACTAACCTACTAACGTTAGTGCAAGTCTTTTGATAAGAATGAGAATCGTCCCAATTATCTGGCTTGAGTACTGCATGGCAGAGTTCATCCAGGTGTTTTTACATGAACACATTTATTCTGGATTATCCAGGGCCACAATGCAGAAGTAAATTCCCATTTCCTGCTCACTGCAGAATAAACACATCTGTGTCTGACTGGTAAAAGGTTGCTTTTTGTGAACTGGGTCTTGCAGTGAAATTTGAAGGCCTAGATCTTCTTAGAGCATTTGCTGGCTGCAGTGAGATCAGATGCTACAGGCAGACAGAGATGAAGACGGTGAGAAATGACTGAGGAAGATCAGAGTATGGGCAGTGGGTTGAAAGCTGATCTGAAGCAATTGATGTGGCAACCATCCTTCTAGCACACGGCTGTAAAACATAATTCAAGTAGCACCTGCTGCGTAAGTCTGAAGACTCAGGATGTGTCTGTACTGTGACACAGCTCCACATCAGAAAGCTCAGTGCTGCTTGGCACAGATAGCTTGACAGTGTGGGACAGATGGGGAAAACTAAGGCAGACTTTCCCCTTAAGCATGATCTTTGCAAAGACAAAAAGAAGCACCCCTCTCTACCCCTATATTTCCCTCTACAAGATAAGAAGACACTGGGCTGAGGATGTCAGCTCAGGATGTGCAGAGGGAGAGCTGATGCTGAACAGTACAGGATTTTGGGTTGTTTTGATGCACATGTGTGTGTCTAGTGAGGAGAGTTTGTCTCTAATCTGCCTGACAGTGTGGATAAAAGGTGACAAACACTGGGAGAGGGGTCTGCTGCAGGAGCTCGAGCACCATTGAGAGACCTTGCAGCATAACTACATGATGGCAGCTGATGCTTGCTGGCTTTCTGTGAAATCAGTGACTAACCTAGCAATTTCACATATTTTTTAATGAAATAAGAGCAGAAAAATATACTCCTAACAGCACCGATGTGCTATTCATGCTTGTATTACAACCTGGATTTTATTCCTTTCTTGTTCTCTGGCTCCTTGTAGCATCAGTGAACACATCAGGAAATTACCAGTCTATAAACCATTCACCCTGGGCTCTGATTACACACATTTATTTCATAAACGTAAGCAATATAGCCATTGGTTGGCATTTGATTTAGGACCATCAGAGAAAAATTGTGCTTGTGTGTGTGTGCATGTGTTTATCAGGCTATTTATCCTCTCCAAGCACTGAGTTGTATGTATAATTGTGGATCTTCTACATTTCTTTTTTTGAAGTTCTGGTTGTATTTCATGTTCTTTCCCATCCTGACAATTTCCTTCTGTTCTGTTTTTGAGAGAAGGATAAAGAATCTGACAAAAACAAAAAAACAAAAAAAACGGAGTAGGTGCTACAAGTGACATGAACTGGATCCAAGAATCTGCAATCAAATATTTCATCATCTTTATAGATTAGATTAGATTAAAAATGAGATTTCCCAAGTGTTGGTATAGGTGGATTATATTTATTACAGATATAAATCTTCAGTGGAGAGAGAACTTCTCTGGCTGGGACTTAAAGTGACAGCAGCCAGCTTCTTTCTCCAGCTTGCCTTTGTTAGTTATAAGAACCAAAAGCTGAGTCCTTCTGAACTTCAAGGAGTTCTGTAAAGTGAAAATCTTAATTTCTGTTTCAAAACCCACTTAATTCCAGGCTTCTTCCTTACAGAACCATAAAGAGGACAGAGATAATCACACTGACCACTAAGATCGTGACATTAGGGGCAGTGGTAGAGCAAAGACACATTAGAGAACATTTGGAGTCCTGTTGGATGACTACTGGGTAATGAGTTTCCAATGCAAATTTTAATAAAAAAATGAGAAGAGCAATCTCAGGCATACAGATAGGTGAAGGCAGAAATGTTTGTTTCTGTGTTGGACTGGTCCTACCTTGCTGCCACACAATCTGGTGCCAGAAATTCACGGGATATATTGAAAAAAAAACCATGTTGATGCAGAGAAAAAACACAAAACTTTTGGAAGGTCTGGAAAATGTGTCTTCCAGTGAGAGCACCAAGGACCCAAAATCTGATGTCAGAAGCTGTTTAAACTAGCAAAGGTGAGCTCCAGTGTCTATTAATGAAACCAGACAAATTCTGGGGCTGACATTTTAACTGTTGGAACAGCTTGTCACGAGCTGTGGCAAATTTTCTTGTAGTAGAGATTTTTAAATGAAAAATGAATGCTTTTCTGAAAGAAATACGCTTGCTCAATAATTTAGGATTTTTTGAAAACTGTATTCTTAGCCTGTGTCATATCAACTGATCACAGCAATCACTCTTGGGTTTGCAGTTATGAATAACGAAAGGGGTGTTTTGTAGGTTTTTCAAAACACTAGAATTTCTGTGACAAGTCAGTGCTTTCAGAGGCCTCCGCACAGTTACTAAGATCTTAAAATGCTATTGGTATAATCAGCTGAGTTCAGATCTGTAATATATTTTGAATGCTTAATTCATTTTGAAGGTTCTGTTGCTTGGAGGATTGTGAAAGGAAGGCGAGGTGAGCACATCTCTGAGGAAAGGAGACCCCCAGGGTTTTTTTTTGCTGGGAGCACACGTCTGTAAGGGTAATGATGGGAAAGTGCTCAAACTATACATGCCACTGACCTTGTACAAACTGCTGCAAACCCAGGGGTTGGTTGTTGCATGAAGGAGCTCCTTCTGAAATGGAAAAATGCTGTGAAATTCAACCTTCTCCCTTACATCACTGTGCTTTGTGACAGAGCAAGGCCCACAGAGCTCTGCAGAGCAGAGTGTTCTAAGGTGCTATCAAACTCACACCCAGATGCACCAGAAAGGCTGTTCAGTATTTCACCCCCCATTCTTTTACTCCTTGGTGTCTCCTTGGTTCCTGGCTGAGCTTTTCATCTTCAGGAGTGATTAGACAACAATGTCCAACAATGAGATGTTTCTTTCATGGGATACCTGTGATCTACAAATAACCAACAACAAAACTGCCATGAGAAATATGCTGCCAATAGCTAGCTGCCTTCTCCAGATGCCTATCTTCATCCCTACGTGATCACTGGGATCTGCTCAGTCTTGCCATGGTTTCCTGCTCTACATTTATCTGAGACAGTTCTCTACTCTTCGAATTGGTATGGATCATTTCTTTCACCACTTGATTATGCATACTGGAGAATAATTCTGAGAAAACTGGGATAAAAAGCATGATAATTGCTGTCTCTATATAATACTTATGTGCACACATATAAAGCTTTCCACAATAATTTTTAAGATACATGCAATAACCCCCTATTTTTTTCAATAGGAAAAGTCTGAAAGGATAACTGTTAGGAGCCACTGCCAAGTTGGTAAAGACAAAAGAGCACTTCCTTGTGACTGAAATGTTTTTAGATCAAACAGCTGGAGGTACTGCACTTTATGGTAGAGAAGAAACAATTTTTTTTTTTTTTTTTTTTTGTAATACATAAAAGAGAATAATATCATGCACGAACTACATGGCACTTTATTATTTCTCAATCTGTTTCATGTGATGATAAAGGGTTAGAGGGTAGAAAGGGAGAAGGCGTTTGAGAAACTCCAACTCACAATGTGTACAATTACCGTGGAGATGAAAAGCCATGAAAGTAAAACCGGGGCTTACAGGGAGATGCTGGGGTCTGTTGGCCAATCTGAATGAGCTCCTTTTGTTTTTCAGCATCTAAAGGGAACTTCAAACCATGAAACAACAATCTGAAGAGGACAGAAATGTCTTCAAGAGATCCATCATAGATGGATGAACCTTCTTTTGTGTACACTTACCAGACAACCATATTTTTTATGTATTATAAGTGCTTCTGAATTTCCTTCACAGTGAATCACCTGCAGCTACACATTTGAGCCTTGTTTTGAAAAAGCTGCTATTTATATACTCGTAAAATACACTTGCACATTAAATGTTCGTGTTAAGCTGGTCATAAAAATAGAATAACAGGAAGTTTTACACAGAATTTAAA